CCAAGCACAGCTCCTCTGGCTGTCAGTGTAGGGCCTCGGTCTTCTCTGAGACACTTCCATACCCTGCCCTGGGGAGACCTCCCCTCCGCAGGGTTAGGGCCCTCAGCCAGGGAAGCAGGAGATGCCCCCAAGGGTTCCTAGCCCCTCGCCCCAACCTCTCGGCTCCCCCAGGCAGCTGCAGTGCTATACGTTGGTGGAGTATAAAGAGTGTGAGTTTGGGCATGAGTTAGACCCAGGTCGAATTTTAATCTCTCCGTTCTCCGTTCTCTGATTGTGTGGCCTGGATTATGTTACTAACCTTCTCCAGCCACTGACTCAGAGGGAGGAGTGAGGTTTAGTGATGATGTATCTGGCACACAGGAGATGTTCAGTAAACCATAACACTTATCAGGGCTTCCCAGGAAAGGCGAGCAAGCTGTGCACTGCACAAGGGCTCCACACCTGTAAGGACGTGCACGCACGCCGTAGACCTCGTAGGTATTTGTTGTCTGAAGTTTGTGGCAGATGATGGTAAAATCTTGTTCTAACTAAATTGTTGGAAAATTGACCATTTTCTGATAGATGGAAGAAAGTATTGGAGGAATACTTTCATTCCTATAAAGCTGCCATGGGTGTTCCCGGCAGCCCCACCTGGTATGAATCCTCTCTTCCAACCACGAATCCGTTTCTTCTCTCCATAGACCCTAGTTTTGGAGCAAGTGCCCATCCTGGTGGCCCAGGGATGCTGATGAGGATGGGCCAGGCCTCGGGATGGGTCCCCCATGTGTAGAGCATCCCCAGCCAGCAGGGCTCCCCCCTCGCCTTCTCTTCTGCAGGTCAACATGGTGGTCTTGGGCAAGTACCTGGGCATTCCCAAGCCCTTCGGGCCCATCATCAACGGCCAGTGCTGCCTGGAGGAGAAGGTGCGGTCCCTGCTGGAGCCGCTGGGCCTCCACTGTATCTTCATTGACGACTATTTGTTCTACCACGAGCTGCTGGGGGAGATCCACTGTGGCACCAACGTGCGCCGGCAGCCTTTCTCCTTCAAGTGGTGGCACATGGTGCCCTGAGCCCACCTCCACCCGCCATCCTCTATGCCCACCTGCCAGGGAACCCCGCCAGGGTGAGGGCGAGGAGCCTCCACCCGGCCTCCATCCTCTCAGGGGAGCCTCGGGTGCATCTTCCCGGGTCCTGGACACGTGCTGGCCATTGCAGGCCCCGGAGTACGGCCACAGACACCACGCACCCTCGTTCCTGGAGTGGCCGCCCCAGCCCAAGGACTGTCCTCATTCTTCCCTCCCTCTTCCTGATCCGAGGTTCTGGAAAAGAGCAACTGCCTTAACATATTCAAGGACGGCTGTGCGTGGTCATGGTCGTGCTGGGTCCTTGCCCCTCTGTGCTGATATTCCTTTCGTGTCTGCACCAGGAATGGGGCCCAGAGGGCCTGAGCTCGGGGGCGGAGGCCTGGGTCCAGGGCACCTGTGGTTCTTGTCAGAGCAGGAGCAGAGAGGTGGGGCACCCCCTTTTCTCTCCCAGCTGTCACCGCCATGCAGGGGACCCTCAAGCTGTGACTTCCTGACACCCCTCAGCCGTATTTATAGAGGCCAATAAGCACAGGAAGGCCGAGCATCTGAGGGCCTGTCCTAAAAAGAAAAGGCAACAAAACCCCTTTAATGCCTGACTCCAGCCTCAGAAGGGTGCTTGTTACCTGTGTAGGAAGCCTTTAATTACGAGTGCTGGCAGCTTCCGGCCCCCAAACGCTGTGAGGCCAGAGAAAGGCCTCCGGGGGCCACCCAGAGGAAGGCTGGCAGGCGGGAGGCCAGGGTGGCGGACAAGCCTTGGGGCCTGGCCTCTGTGTCCCAGGTGTCCTCGCTTCGGGTTTTGCACCCTGAATGTGAAGGGGGGCTGGCGGTTCCAGATGTCACAGGGGGCAAGGGCCCAGAGGTTAGGAGAGGGTGGGGGGGCCATTAGGTTATCTCTGAAGGTGGGGTTTAATTTCCTTTAATTGTCTTTAATTATTCCCCTTGGTCCCGCTGGCAGTGGGAGGAACGGCTTGCCCAGTCCCTCTTGGCAGCCCCGAGACCCTGTGTGTCACCTGGGTTTCCCTATAGAGTGACCCCCCCTCCTCCGGCAGGCCTGTGTCCCCTCCCAGAGAGGGGAAGAGAGCTGCTACCAGGGTGCGGGGTGGCTAAGAGCCTGGCCCCGGGTGAGGTCACCAGGATGTGTACAGGCAGGTAGGCTTGGCCGGTGCCAGGCGAGAGGTATCCTTCTCCAACCCCAGGCATGGGCACAAAGGACCAGCCTGCCCCCTCCCACCATTGCCTCTGGGGCCATTCTGGTGGCTCTCGGCCTCTGGCCTCCACCACCGGGGCTTTCCAGGAGCCCCTGATAAGACTGGGGCCGGGCCAGCCAGCCCCTGTTAAACTCTGTGAGCCATGGACTACTTAGCAATCAGAAACTTCCATGGAAACCCAAGATCTGAAGCGGATAAGATCAGGACTGCTATGGTTTAAGGCAGTGGGGGTGCTGTACCTGGGTCCTCCCCTTCCAGAAGACTCTGGGGACCCCACTCACAAGCCCCTGGTCTAACTTTTGCACTTTCTGCTCATAACCATGACCCAGCCTAGACTGAGCCAAGGAGAGAAGGGAGCTCTTCGGGGGCCAAGGGCCTGCAGCCAGGGTTGAGGTTCTCCAGGGAAAGGCTGTGGGTGGAAGGGCAGGGGCATTGCAGAGTGATAGGGAGGGTGGGGAGCAGGCCTTCTAGAGCTGCCCTGGGCGTGGGAAGCTCTGGAATTGCTGCTAGAGTTGTCGGAGGGCCCTAAAGTCCCCTCTGAGAATGTTCCGGACGACTGATCACTTCCTACTTGATTAATAAAAATGTCAACATGCATTTCTTCAAGTGGCTGCCTCCTTAGTGTCTGTTTGTTGGGCTGTAGGGAGGAGGGGAGGAGCGAGGGGGGCCCTCCTTCCAGTTCTCCCCACCGTGCCCCAGCTCCTTGGCTCAACTTCCGCTGGCCACGGGCAGTTCCTACCTGGCTGGGAGAGCCCCAGGGCCAGTCAGTGCCAGGCAGGCAGGCAGGCAGGCTGATTCAGCAGGAAGGCTGGCACAGGCCCATCGCTCTGAGGCCAAGTGCCCGGCCGAGATGGATATCAGGGGAGGGGTGGGGCCTGCCTCTTCTTTCCCTAGGCTATCTCTTCCATCTCTCAGAGCAAAGGCAGGCTGGGCCCTACTGGCAGAGGCAGGAGATCCTCCAGTGGGACTGGTGCCCAGGGCCGAAGGCCACTAGGATTCCCTTTCATTCCTGCCTCTAAAGCTTGCAGGTTACCCAGCCTCAGTGGTCTGATTTCAGGGACCTGGAAATATCACCCCCTCTCATCCTACACACCGGCTGCTGCCTCAGATTCTATCCTCTGACACTCATTCACTTTATTTTACCTTTTGTTATGGACTAAAAGGCAAAAAGCTGCTGCCCATCAGTCATCGACACTTTAGTCTGAACGAACCACAGATGTGTTTCTAAAACCTGGTATTAACAGGGGCGAGGCGAAGGCTTGGGTCTATTTCCGAAGGGAGATACAGGGCTCTAAGGCGGAAGCTGGTCCTGCCCCCAGCACTGTGGGCCAGTCCCCAGGAGGAAGCCCCCACCTTCTGAGCAATTCCCCAGCTGTGCTCATAAGCGGGTAGGGAGACTGTTTGGGGCTTCCTCCTGAGTCCAGATCTGAGCCTGCCATCAAGCCATTTTCTAGCCAAAGAAGTAAAGCTGTCATTGAATTCAGCAGCCCAGCATCTCTCCTTGGGAACACCCTTCCCAGACTCTGGGATAGAAGAGCACCATTCTTAGAGTCCTGCTGAAGATCCTTGAGCTGCTGGGCGTGCACCCACTGGGGACACTGGGAAGCAGGTCCTCGTCCCTACCCTGCCTCAGACTGGCAGCATCGCCAGAGAGAAGGGAGGAAGCTTCTATTCAGCACCTTTGGAGCCTGGCTGGGTAGGGTGTGTCCCCGCCATTATCTCTGCCGGGCTGGTGATTAGCCACATTTTCTACAGATGAGGAAACCAAGGCTCAGAGAGAGGGAACCTACCACCCAAGGCCACATAACTGTTGCATGGTGCAGTTGGGGTCCCCAAGACCCCTCTCCTGAGAGCCCTTGCTCCTGCTGCTTCAGGTGGCCAAATGCCTTCTCTGGCCTCAGTTTCCCCCCCCTCACAAGTGAGCCTTCCTGCTCCAACATTCTAAGTTCTTCCTGGCCAGAGAGGGCCACCCACCCCTTCCACAGGCTTTTGCCATGTGGTCAGAGTGACAACGCCAGTAATAGAACGAGGCCGGGCTCCACACTACAGCTCTGCCCACGTGGGCCCACGTGAGCCCTGCAGAGGCGGCAGGTGAGGCACAGAGCAATGAAGCCACTTGTCCCCAGCCACGCAGCCAGCACCAGGCTGAGGCAGAGCTGCCTGCAGTCCTGCTTCCACACTCCATGCTCTTAAGAAAAAGGCAGGTGTTTCTCAAAGTTTCTCACGACGCTTTGGGGGTGCTTATGAAAAAAATCCCGATGCCAGGAGGCACCCCTTACCGGCTGTGTCAGGCTGGAGGTGGGGCCTGGGAGCCTGCACGTTCACCAGCTCCTCCAGCAGGGTGGAGAAGCTCCCCGCTAAACCGTATCAGCTCTGGAAATGCAGGAAAGGGGGGGTGAGGAGGAGGAGTGTGGAAAGTGAGGAGGGCGCCCAGGTCAGCGCCCCACATCTTCGCCTCCCCCCCTCACCTCCCAGGCCCTGGTGCCCCAGCCCCGGTCCCTGCGGGGACTCGCTCCCTTGGAGGGAGAAACAAAGGCCCTCCGAGCTGGGGGCGGAGCAACAGGCTCTTATGCAAATGATGGGTTGCCTCTGGCCAATCCTGAGCTCCCGGCTCTGGGAAGGGGCTGGGCTTCCATGACAGGAGCCAATGAGCTAGCAGCCCGGGCCGGGGAGGCGGGGCCAGGGCCTTTTAAACCGCACGACCTGGGATGTGCCCCGCAGCGCTGGGTTTAGCGGCCCGAGCCCCACCGAGGCCAGCATGTCCCTGCAGAGGATCGTGCGTGTGTCCCTGGAGCATCCCACCAGCGCCGTGTGTGTGGTTGGCGTGGAGACCCTCGTGGACATTTACGGGTAAGAGCCAGAGGCCCGGGGGTCTGCAGGCCTTGGTGCTGAGCCCCTTGGGCCCTTCCCTGGGCAGAGCTTCCTCGGGGCTCAGGCCTGGCCTGGCCGCCCTCTCCCAAGCCGGGGGACTTGCAGTGGTTGAGCTCTGGCCCAGGGCCTTGGAGGGTGCTGGTGTCATGGGGGCTTGGGCACTCCGGAAGACCCTGCAGGCTGGGGTCACAAGGATAGGAAGAGGTGTGTACCCCCAGCCCTGGTCCCCAGCCTATGAGCTCTGCAATGAGCATCAGTCGTTTCCTTAGAAATCATTTATGCATATGTAGCCCTTCCTATGTGCCAGGCGCTGTTCTAAGCTCGGCAAACTTCTTGAATTTAACCCTTGAATTTGAATGCTCCAGTTTAACGTTCACAACCACCTAGGAGCTAAGCTTGTTGTCAACTTCATCTCACTGATGGATGAGGAAACTGGGACAGAGAGGACAAGCCATTTGCTCAGGTCACACAGTAACTACACATCAATGCCAGGGTTAAAACCCATTTATGATCAAGTGTCTTAGGCTTCTCACTGCCCCTTGAAGAGGAAGGATCTGGTCTCCTCCAGCCACTCAGAGCCCACATGGAATTCCCTCACTGTGTGCCATGGCCATGTCCTTAAAGCCAGTGGCAGGAAGTAAGGCCCTGTTTTATCTCTCTCCCAGGAAGAAAGGGAGAGTTTGGGCAGGGTCTTAGGAAGTGGGCTGTGGGAACCACTTAGGGAGCTGACTCCTTAGGCTTTTGGGGAGTCTCTGGGGGTCCTAGCTCTAAGACTGAGCTGTTAGGGGAGGGGGAGGAGAGAAGGAGAGCCATGTCACCCTTCCCCTGTCACCGGTCTCCCACCCCGCCTCTGACCAGGTTTTGAAACCTCAGCACTACTGACCTGCTCATTCCCTGTGGTGGAGGCCGTCCTGTGCATTGTGAGATGTGGAGCAGTGCCCCTGGCTTCTATTCACCGACGCCAGTGGCACACCCCCACTTGTGACAGCCAAAAATGTCTCCAGACATCGCCAAATGTGCCCTGTGGTGGTGGTGGTGGGGGGGGGATCACTCCCAGTTGAGAACCAGTATCCCAGACTAAGACTTGAAAAATTGGAGTGAACTTAGTTGGAAGCAGAGCTGGGGTCGGTCCCAGAGCGTTAGGTAAGCAAGGGTGAGAGGCCGGTCTTGGGAGGGAACCAAGCGTGGAGCAGGCCCAGCTGGGCACCAGGAGCTGAAGCCTGGGTGACGGTGGGTGGGCAGTGAAAAGTAGGGAGGGCACTGGGAGGAGGGGCAGCACAGAGGCTGTGCCAGGAGGAGGGACGAGGGTGGAAAGGTGTCCCTGCTCCTGGCGCCACCTCCTCCTCCCGTGCTGCGTGCCCATGGGGGTGACTCACCTGCGTCAGCCGCCTCATGCCCGTCGGGCAGATGTGCCTCCAGTCTGACCTGGCCCGGGAAGCCCAGGGCCGGCCCCTCCCCTGCTGCAGCAGCGCTTCCTTAGAAGATGGAGCCAGCGGGGCAAAGGCAGCAGTGTCTTGGGGTTACATGAGTGCTCCCAAGGAGGCCAAGAGGGGACAGCCCGAGGGCGTGGGGCACAGCCTCAGGCACCCTCAAACGAAGGATTCTGGGGCCTCTGTGACCGGACCACCTTGCAGGAGGCGGAGGGCTGCTGGTCCATTCATTCATTCATACACCCATCAAGTATTTATTTGGGGTCTAGTGTGGGCCGGGCTTGGGGACACGATGGCAGTGGCGAGCAAGGAGGCACGATCCCTGCCGTCTGAGAATCCTGTCCCTTCAGAGTTCTATCAGAGGCTGGGTGGCCCCGTGCTCTGGGGAAGGATCCCGTCTCTTCCAGCTTGGAGATGTCGTGATTCAGCAATCCCAGCGCTCACACCGTGGGCCAGCCAGGGAGGGGGCAGCGGGTGTGCCGGCCAGCGCCGGGCCTGGGACTTAGCAGTCATCTGACTTCGGGAGAGTCACTTGGCATCTGTCCTTCATGTGTAGGGTGGACATGGTCCTCTCAGCCATGATCCTCAGAGACTGCTCCGTACCAGGCGCCGCCCTAAGCGCTTGATGTTTAGTAACTAACTCAATCCTGCGAGGTGGGGACTGTCATCATCCCCATTTTATAGATGAGGACACAGAGGCACAGAGCAGTTGAGGTACTGGCCCCGTGTCACACAGCCCATGAGGATGGCAGAGCCAGGCTGCAGCCTAAACACGTCGGCCTTCGCGTCAAAGGACTCGGGTGTTGTGTGTAGAGCCCGTAGGCCGTGCCTGGACGTGGTGGACATTCCATTGTGGCAACTGCCACCACCACCACCAGCCCTGCCACCACCACCCACCACCAGCACTGTCATCATTTTAAGGCTCTGTCCTGGCCCCTTGGACAGCCTCAAGGGCCCCCAAACCTGCCATCTACAAGGTGGCTGGGGGACAACCTCTGAACCCTACCCGGAGAAGGAGATGAGGAAAGAGGAATGAACATTAGGCGAGTAGTCGGGGCAGGTCTCCTGGAGGGAGGGCACCAACCGGGGCCTTGAAGGATGAGCACAAGCAAGACCGCTGGGGCGCTCCGTCTGTGGCAGTGGACTGCACCCTGTCTTCTTGCCTTCCGTAGAGTTGGAGATGGCCCAGACTTGGTCAGGGGGCCGCGCTTTCCTGAGCAGGGGCTCGCAGGGCGAAAGGGAAGGAAGGGAGATACAGGGGTGTGCTGAGCCACATCCTGGGGATGAATGTGCAGCCAGGGTTGAAACCACTGCCCTAGTTGGACAGGCCAGCAGCTCGGGTCACCTCTTGCTCAGCAGAGGCAGGTCAAGGGAGTGAAAGGACAGAGGGACCAGGGCGGGGCGCCCTGAGTTTTAGTTCTCGCTCTGTCGTCCTTTGCTCTCTCCTCTTGAGCCCTTTCTGCTCCTTTCTGGTCCTCAGTTTCCCCTTATGTGCCCTGAAGAGTTTGTCATAGAACAGCGGGTGGCCAGCTCTGCTCTTGGAGGCCACTGAGCCCCCTCCCTGGTTTGACAGAGCAGCTCTCCCTCTGGCTCGTGGTCCGTGAGAGCGCTCACCTGCGTGGGCAGAGCCGGGCCGCGAGGCTGATGCATCGCCAGCTCTCCTAACGAGCTGGGCTGTAGGGAAGCGGTTCAAGGGGCCACCATTTCTCAGGGGCGGGAAGAGGGTGGGACGAAGGAGGGACTGTGGTCTGCTGACCCTGGGGACGGTGGGGCCAGAGGACTTGGGGTCTGGGAGCCTCGCTGAACAGGGCGGGGGTGGGTGGGGGCAGCTGCCACCCAGAGCCTGCGCTGGCTGGGTCTTGCTCTCCTCTGCCCCCGTGGGCCACATCAGTGGGGACCGTGGTGATCACCTTGTCAACCTGTCTGGTTGCAGCCGCAAGGACCTCTCCCATCAGCGTTTTGGCTCTGAAATGTCTGGTTCTGTTTTCCCGGAGGCCCCGGCCCTGAGCCCATGAAAGGAGAGGATGGGTTTGGGTCTGCAGGGGAGCAGGGCCTGAGTCCCGGCTGTGAGTCTTGGCTCCGACACCGACCAGCTGTGTGACTCTGGGCAAGTCCCTGTCATCTCCGAACCTCTTCCCTCATCTGTAAAGTGGGGATAACAGGACTGATGGTGTGTGTGTGGCTGTGGGGGCTGCTTTGTCACCTTTGTCACCATCGTCACCGTCATCGTCCTCACCACTGAGAGGGTGACATGGAGCGTAAAGGAAGACCTGACTTGTCTGGGTTCCTAGGAGGGGCGGGCTCACATTGAGTCACTCCCACGCTGCTGGGGAGACAGCCCCCCTTAGCCACGGTTCTCAGATGTCACTGGGCTCAGTGCAGGGAGGGTGCACGGAGGGCCTTGGACTGTCCTGTGCATGGACAGGAGGGGAAGCCCGAAGCCCCCGGGGCGGGACTGGGGGTCCTGTCTGGAGCAGCAGGCTGGCAGCATGGGGTGGCCAGGCCGGAGGAAGAGCTTGGGCCGGGCAAGCCTCTGGCTGCTTCTCCGGCCTCCACAAGACGGGAAATTCAGACCCTCCTGTACCCGATGCAGGCTCTTGTCCCAGCAGCCATCCTTCTCATCCTCCCAACAGCTGCTTCCCCGATGGGGCGTGAGCACTGGACTGGGAGTCTGGAGCCCTACCTTCTGGTCCCTCCTCTGCTGGGTCTCAGTTTCCCTGGAACGAAGTGAGGCATGGGTTTGGGTGCCTCCAACTTTCACTCGTCTTGAGCGTTTACACACATCGGTTCCTATAGTCTTCTCCGCCTTATAGACGGAGACATTGAGGCAGAGGGAGGCCAAGCGTCTCCCTCAAGGTCACACACCTCGTGGGTGGTGGGCTGGGATTTGAACCAGCATCCACCTCAGTGCCCCTCCTGATCAAGAACCTTCGCTGGCTCCCCCTTACAGCCTGAGTTTACCCTTGGCCTCCTGAGGCTCCACCGTGGAACTGCCTTCCCCTGGGATGAGTCTCCCCCTCACCCTTGGCTCCCCCTGCCTCCCTCTGGGAAGCTGCCCCCCAGAACCCCTAGCCCAGCCTCTCAACCTGCCTCCGTTTGCCCTTTTCCTGCTTCTTAATCAACCTGAAGACCCCACCCCCACCCCCATGGGTGATTTTCCAAGCCTTTCCCATTATGGCATCTGAGCCTTGCCATGGCCCGTGAGGTTGACCAAGTGGGTGTCATTATTCCACTTTGTCGGGAGGCAAAGTGATTTATTCGGGGTCACCTGGCTTATGGGCGACCCGGCCCAGTCTAGAGCCTGGCTCTTGACTCTGATCCTGGCACCACTGAGCTCCTGGGTCCTTCCCCCTCAGGCCCGAAGGATCTTCATCAGGAAGCCCCCAGCATCTCATACAGGGAAGTGCAAGGGAGCTGGGCCAAGATACCCCAAACCCAGGGGCTGATGCTAGGGAGCTGGGTGCAGTACCATGCCTTCTGCTCCCTCAACCTCCAGGTCGTGGGCACCGGGGTCCAAGCAGCAGGTTGGGGTTGGGGGGAGTTTCATAAAAAGTTTATAAGCCTCCTAGGGAGCGGGAGGCCAGGTGACTCAGGGAGTTGGGCTGAGGGTTCTCCTTGGGGTGGAGGGAGCTCTCCACACCCGGTCTATCTCCATGTGTGTCTTTCTGGCTCTCCATCTCTCAGGGTTTTCTATATCTCTTTGTCTCTCTCTCTCTCTGTCCAGGCTCTTTATGTCCCAGGATGGGCTGGCCCGCACACCCAGGACACCCCAGGACCGAGGGCTCCACCAGCCCTGGAAATTACAGGCTTTGGGAATAGGGTTGCCAGATAAAATCCAGGATGCCTAGTTAAATTTGAAATCCAGATAAACAATTAGTATTTTTTTTTTTAGTGCAACCATGTCCCAAATACTGCACGGGACATCCTTATACTAAAACAATGATTTGCTGTTTATCTGAAATCTGAGTCCAGCTGGGTGTTCTCTAGTTTTATTTGCTAAATCTAGCAGCCCTGCTTGGGGGGAGAAGCAGGTGTGTCGGCCCCGCCCAGCTGCTGGGGACGCCCGGGAGGGCCACGCGCTCCACCAGGACCCGCCTGACAAGTGGAGCCTGGGCTGGGCTTACTTCTCTATTTATAAAAAAGCCACTTTGAGAAGTTTCAGAGTCCTGCTGGTGGAGGAGTGGAGAGGGCGTACTGAAGGAAGTCTGCGCTCCTCCAAGTGGAGCAGGGAAAGGAAGAGGGCCCGGAGTCGGATTGCCGGCTGTGCAACCGTGGGGAAGTCTCTTGCCCATCCTGAGCCTCTGTTGCCCCACATGTGAATGAGAGTCATAATCCCCTCCTCCCGGCCACGGTGAGGATGAATGAATGCTGTTTGGAAGGCCTGCCCTGGTAAGTGGGCAGGGGAGGGGGCCCTCGGGGGCTCGGGGGCTATGATTATCGTGACTCTCCTTTTTTTTTTTTTATCTTAAGATTTTATTTATTTATTCATGACACACAGAACACACAGAGAGAGGCAGAGACACAGGAGGAGGGAGAAGCAGGCTCCACGCGGGGAGCCCGATGCGGGACTCGATCCCAGAACCCCGGAATCACACCTTGAGCTGAAGGCAGACACTCAATCACTGAGCCACAGGCACCCCATCGTGATTACTCCTGGGGAGGTGGTGGGTGAGAATATGGACTCAGGAGCCAGGAGGCCTGGGGTGGGATCCCAGCTCTGCCACTTACTAGCTCCATGACCTTGGCAGTGTGCTTAACCTTAGTTCTCCCATCTGTAAAATGGGAAACGATGGTAGTAGGCACCTCCTAGTTTAATGGGAGGATTGCTTTACGTAACACACCTAAGAACCTTGCACAGGGCTGGCCTATAAACAAGAACTCAACAAATGTCAGCTACTGTTTATCTCCCGGGCACACGTGTGTGTGCTGCTTCCTCTAGGAAGCCTTCTGGTCTCTCTGGCTCACAGGGGCCTCTCCCTACATGGGATCCCACAGACCACTGACTTCGTGACTGTAAGCCCCACCTGGCTGCCCGGCAGTGCTGTTTTTAACTCCCTGATGGGGTGGAAGGCTCTGGGGCAGCGGGGAGAGTAGTGGGTGTACCTGCCTCTGGGCACAGTAGGCACCCCGGGCACCCCACAGACAATCAGAGGGTCGACAGACTGATTTCAAACAGGACTCCCAGACCAGCTGGAGTGGGGGGAACACAGCCCCAGGGCCAAGATGACTTTTGAAAGGTACTAATAATGCTTGGTTGCTTGACTGAATCTGGCCAAGTTTCCCAGGTGACGCTGCAGGGCCACGGAGAAGCACAGGCGCTGTGTCAGAGCCCCAAGTGCACACCTGGCAGCGCCATTCCATGCCGTGTGACCTCGGGCTTGGTACTTGACCTCTCTGAGCCTCAGTTCCTCACCTTTCTGATGGAGATGATATCACTCACTTTGCAGACTTGTGAGAATAAAAGGAGCTAGGAAATACAAGGTGCCTGGCACCCAGTGGACGCTCTACAAAATTTAGTACCCTTCCCTAGGGAAGACCCCAAGGGCATCTTCTTGCCCGCTAAAGAAGGGTGCAAATGGGGATCCCTGGGTGGCGCAGCGGTTTGGTGCTTGCCTTTGGCCCAGGGCGCGATCCTGGAGACCCGGGATCGAATCCCACGTCAGGCTCCCGGTGCATGGAACCTGCTTCTCCCTCTGCCTATGTCTCTGCCTCTCTCTCTCTCTATCTCTCTGTGACTATCATAAATAAATTTAAAAAAAATAAAAAAAAAGAAGGGTGCAAATGGGACCTGGAGGGGAGACTGCTCTTCTTAAAGCCATGGGCTCAGAACTGCAGGGGGTCCATTTGCAGGCTGGTGTCCACTGAGCTCTCTGCACCCAGCTCTGCACTAGGGGCTTATAAAGCACTCAACCGGGTCCTAACTTCCCAAGAGCTTGCAGTTTTGTTGGGAGTTAAAATAACTCACAAGGGAAGTGTTAATAAATACAGAGCCTTGGAAGGTGAGAATGGGTATGCATTTGTGTGGGGTCCAGGCTTCACTCCCAGGAGCTTGCCGTGGGGGGCTGAGAGGCCTGGGGTGGTCAGGGAAGGCTTCCTGGAGGAAGCAAGCGTTTGAGCCAAAGCTCAAGCATCTGAACAACTATCCACCCATTAGCACCTCCCATGGCTTCTTGTCCTTCCCAGGTCGGTACCTGAGGGCACGGAGATGTTCGAGGTGTATGGGACTCCCGGTGTGGACGTCTACATCTCTCCTAGTATGGAGAGGGGCCGGGAGCGTGCGGACACCAGGCGGTGGCACTTTGATACTGGGTTGGAGATCATCGTGGTCATGAACTCTCCCAGCAACGACCTCAATGACAGTCATGTGAGCAGGTCCCCTGGGTTGGGGTGGGTGGGGCAGCGATCTAGCACTGCAAGGGCCAGCACCCTCTCTTTACCCAGATGGCAGGGTAGCACGATGGGTAAGTACACGCCCCAGAACCAAGCAGCTCTGCAACTTCCAGACATAAGCCGTGTGTCTGTTGGCGCGTCATATCAGCCCTCTGGGCCTCGGTTTCCCCTTATGTCAACTGGGGATGATCACAGCACCTTCCCCCCGTTGTTGGTGTGGGGTGGAACATGAGCCAACATTTGCTGCTTTTCTTGTTTCTGAAGACCCCAGCGAAGGGAGGTATCCGCATCTTTCTGTGTCGGGCCTCAGTTTCCCCACCTGCAGGGTGAGGGTTGATTAGGTGATCTCTGGTACTCTGAATGATGGAGAGAAAGCAGAGGTGGGGGGATGCCACTGCCTGGGGAGACCCCTTTCTACGAGGCACCTCACCTTCTAATCCACCCCCTCCCTGACCGCATTCCCTTCTCAGAGGCACGTAATTTCTCTTCCTCCTCTCTGCTCACTCAACCAAGGGTGAGTTTAACAAGCCCCAGCCGTAGGCAGGGTTCTGGCCTCAGGGCAGGGATGGGACATAGGAGAAATGGGGTGGCCCTTGAGCTTGGCACAGGTGATGCCCCCTTAAAGGGGTGACGGAAAGCAGGCCCGGCGTGTGGGAGTGGCAGGTTCCTGCTCCATGTCAGGAGCAGCATTTCAGGAAACTGATCTTTTAGGGACCACTGAGCAGAGGCCACACCGGGGGCAGCCACGACTTCATGCAGCCCTGACAACAGCTCAGAGAGGCAGGGTCCGATCCCCATTTCGTAGGTGGGGCCACTAAGGTTCAGGGAAGCTGTGTCCGGGCCACAGAGCCAATCAGTAAGAGAGCTAGTATTCCACACAGACCTGCTGACACCTGGGGCAGGTTCCCTTCATCACCCCCATGTCTTTTCCCATCCATGTATCTGAGATGAGCCTCTCCACTGAGCTCAGTGACTCAGGTGGACAGGGAAATGAACTCATTTTACAGATAAGGAAACTGAGGACGAGAAGGGGCGTGGCTTACCTGAAATCACCCACCCAGTGAGTAGCAGAGTTGGTGAGGGGCAGGACAGAGGCCCCCGGGGCAGGGCAAAAGGACCAGCCAGCCGGTGAGGGGGCCCCTCCTGGGTGCCCTGCCGAGCTGGGGGCTGTGTGGGTGCCAAAGACCAAAAGGATTGAGGAAAGACCCTTCTCCTTTCCCCACCTTTGGCCTGGATCCATTCGTTGTATGCCCGAGGCCAGCATTGTTGCTCGGGCTTGACAGATGGGGGTGAGTGATTGTGGGATTTAGGGTGAAGGGTCTCTCTATAAGATCCTGAACCTTCTGGCAGAGCTGAGGGACCCACATCAGGAGGGAATGTGCAAGCAGAGGGTTGGGGGTGGAAGGGCCTTTGATACATGGTCCTTGGATTATGTTCTCATCACTCTTTGTCAGCCAGACCTTCAACAGCTATTGGGGCTTGCTGCAGCCGAGCACTGCACTGAGCATGTCACACACCTCCCTTTCTTTGATGGTCACAACCTACAATCAACCCTCTGCAGTAGGGACTATTATTATCTCTACTTTACAGCAGGGGACACTGAGGCCCCGAGAGGACAGGTGACTCTTCCCAGGGTAGTCACAAGTGGATCCGGGCTCCAGCTCACACAGTGCCACCTGCCCTCTGTTAACAATAGCTGGCATGTCTTGAGCCCTTCCTGCGGGGTCCAGTCTGGTAGATGTATTGTTTCTGAGCAGCACTACAATCCTCTGCAGTAGGGACCTGTGTGTTCAATGTTCTGCGGGTGAGGAAACCAGACAGCTCAACCAGAGGTGAAGGGCCTTGGCCAAGGTCACAGAACCCAGAGGTGCTGGGCTCAAGTCCAGGCCTGTCTGAATCCTACAGATAGGAGAGGGTCCCTAACCCCACCTGTCAGACCTCCTCATTTTACAAATGGCAACACAGAGATCCAAAGGGGAGCAGAGGCTTGCCCAAATCACACGGTAGTCATTGGCAGCACTGGGGCCCTCACAGGTAGTTCCCATATTACAGCAAGGCATGGAAAAATAAATGGCACAAAGACTAAAAGGAAGAGCTGGGTTGGTAAGCTCAACTTCAGTACATAGAGGTTCCTGAGACCCTGACTCTTTCTTGCCAGATCCCCCAAACCTGTCCTTTGGGGTGGGGGCTATTGGCTTCAGCTGGTTGACTCTGGGCCCTTTCTCCACAGGTTCAGATTTCCTACCACTCCAGCCATGAGCCCCTGCCCCTGGCCTATGCGGTGCTCTACCTCACCTGTGTTGGTAAGTTGGTAAGCTGGCCCTCATTAGGGCCTGGGCCAAGGGCAGGGGGTGGTGGTTGCGAATGACAATGAACGAGGGTCTTTTCACAAACATCAACTCATTTTTTAAAAATTAAAATAAGTGTACATTTAAAAAATTCAAGTGGTATAAAAGAATATATATTGCAAAGTAAACCTCCCTTCCTCCCAACCTAAGACTTCCAGTTCCAGAAACCCAGCATCCTTCTAGAGATCTGCTGTGCTCATGCAGGTGGACACGGCATACTTGTATACTCCCCCCCTTTGTAAGCAAAGGGAGGCACCCTATAGGCCTGGAACTGGACCTTGCTTTCTCCACCTTAAGTTTTTTGTGCCAGTTGTCCACAAATTGATATATAAACTCCATGCGAGATAACTCAGATTGGTTAAGACGTTAAAGGAAAAGGTGAATAACATGAATGAACAGATGGGGAATTTCTTTTTTTAAAAAAGATTATTTAATTATATATTCATGAGAGAAGAGAAAGAGAGGCAGAGACACAGGCAGAGGGAGAAGCAGGCTCCACGCAGGGAGCCCGATGTGGGACTGGATCCTGGGTCTCCAGGATCACGCCCGGGGCTGAAGGGAGATGCTCAACCACTGAGCCACCCGGGCTGCCCCAGAGGGAGAATTTCAACAGAGATGTGAAAACTATAAGAAGGTGTCAAGTGGAAATGCTAAGATTAAAAGTCATGGTAACATTAAAAAAAAATGCTCTTGCTGGGCTGTCTTGGTAGACTCGACACAGCTGAGGAGAGGATCAGTGACCTTGAAGATAAGGCCATGATAAGTTAGACTATATTACATTTTAAAACTTTCATACAAGGGAGGACAAGTAAAAAGTCAAAGTATGGGATTGCCTGGATGGCTCAGTCCACAGAGCACGTGAATCTTGACCTCAGGGTTGTGAATTCAAGCCCCACACTGGGCACAGAGCTCACTTTAAACAAAAAAGGAAGAAAAAGTCAAAATATGGACGGGGAGAAGAAATTTGCGATGTATATGGCTGATATGGAGAACTCTGATCAATAGGAAAAAAAAGACTAACTAATGGAAACAGGGAAAAAATATGAACAAGAAATTCACAGAGGAGAAAGCTCCAGTGATCAGAACCTGAAATGGAAAGATGCTCAACTCAGTGTTGCCAAGGATGTGGAACCAGGGAACTCCTTGACAGTGGGTGGGAGTTTGCGTGGGTACGAGCACCTGCAGAGCACTTAGCAAGAAAGTTGAAAATGCTCTGTCTGCAGGAGGCATTGTTAGAAGCAGAATGTGCATTGTCAGACCTGTGCTGGACTCCTGGGAACCCCACAGTGACTTACTGTCTCCCCTCTCCTTGTAGACATCGCTCTGGATTGTGACCTGAACTGCGAGGGCAGGCAGGACAGGAGCTATGTGGACAAGGTAGGCCATCTCGACCTGGGCCCAGAAAGGGGCTTGGAGTTTGGAGTTGCCTTGGCTGGGTTAGGAGGGGTGAGGCCATTACCGGTACCCCCTGCCTCCTAGGAGAGGGTGGGAGAGCCAAATGGGAACCAGGCGTGGCTGGGGATCTTTCACCAGGAGAAAAATCATTACCAAGGATTATCAAGCATATACATGCCCAGGCCTGGGCTAGGCCTTGCCTTGTGGGGAAAAGTCCTTCTGGAATTTTAGTCTAGGTCAGGGGTCAACGAACTTTTTCTATAAAAGTGAGATAGTAAACATTTTAGGCATTGCAAACCGTCCTTGTCGCAGCTCTTCGATTTTGCCACTGTAGTGCGAAAGGGCTAGAGCCAATACAGAGACACGTGGGTGTGATTATTCCAATAAAACTTTATTTACAAAATGAGGCAGCGGGCTGTATGCGGCCCCTGGCCCTGGTGTGCCAACCTCCTGATCGAGGTGAAAGGGGGATTATGCCAAGCATCAGACTGTTAAAGAACTTTGGGCTGAATTGTGGTGACACTTAGTGAGTCGGGAGTTCAGAGCAGGTCGGCGGGGGCCGCATGAGCAAGGAAGCCTTCCTGTGAAGTCCACTTGAGCTGGGCTCTAAGCATTGCAAGGGGGGGGCATTCTGGGTGGAGGGAGTAGGGGGGGCAAGGCCTGGGTGGATCCACGAATGGATCTGTAATCAGGAAGTTGCCCGTTGAGAAATAGGACGTTGGCTGGAGCCGGCTCGCAGTTGGGCCGTGAAACACAGCTGTGTGGTTCGGACTTGCTGGTGCGGGCAGTAGAGAGCCACTGCCATGCCTGGCACAGGAAGCGCTTCGGGGAGAGCGGGCCTATCCGCCCAGGGAGGGCAAGACGAGGTGAGGTTAGGAGGCTGGCCAGGAGGTTGCTGGGCGAGGGCACGGGACTGGTCCGCGCTCCATCACCGGCTGCGCTTTGCCATTGGCAGCGGCAGTGGGTCTGGGGCCCCAGAGGGTATGGAGCCGTCCTGCTGGTGAACTGTGACAGGGATGATGTAACCTGTTATGACCAGGACAACTGTGACCGGCACGTGAACTGCCTGCAAGGTAAGGGGGGGGCGCCCAGGGTCACGGCTCAGCTACCCCACAGGGGCAGCTCTGAAGGCTGAGCCTGGGGCCAGGGTCCCAGCTCCTGGACACACTTCGACGTTGCTCAAAACCTGCCTCAGGCTGGCAGCTAGCCCCTCCCAGTCCCCCCCAGCGCCAGCGAGCTCTCACATACTGGGGGGCTGGGGTGGGGGGAGCCCTAGAAATGGGCTGACCTGCCTTTCCCTCCAGGGGAGCAGGGGACGCTGACATTTATTTGAGTGCCTCTGTGTGCCAGGCCCTTTTGCAGATTCTTGTTTAATCATCCAAGTGGGAGGGCAGCATCACATCACCCCACGTAGGGATGAGGTGTTGAGGCCGGAGGTCAGGGGATCCCCGAAGTCAGTCAGCCTGTCTGTGGCAGGTCCAGAGCTTCCCGTCCGACCCTCGAATCTGGCCTCCCCACCAGGCACCTCTGGCCTGCGTTTCAGGGCACCCCATGTTCTAAGTCCCACACTTTCCCACAACAGCCCCATGAGGGAGGCCACAGACATATCTTGGGGAACCGGCCACGTGCTCCATGCACAGGCGGGCACGGCTTCTCCGAAAGTGGGCACAACCGTCCCTTATTTCAGACAGGGGAGCGCTGAGTCTCCGGGGGGCTGCCCGGTGTGAACAGAGGGATGCTAGTGCTGACACCAGACTGTCCCCGGTGCGCCGCCCAGGTGGCCTGCCTACCCCACCCTTGTCACCTGTCAAGGGCACTGAGCAGTCACTCTGCACTTCCCGTTGCTCTGGGGGGTGAGGAAGTGGAGGCCCGGAGTGGACGTGTGGGGCTCACGGGCACACGCTCAAGACGTCCTCATGGTTCGTTCTTGGTGGTTTCCAGTGCCGTCCAGTGTTTTCTGATGGTGGGCAGAGCTGGGGCTCAGAGACCCAGATCTGGGCACCCTCTGCCCTTGGAGGGGGGTGCAGTGGGCAGGAGGAGAAGACGCCAGTGCCGCAGGCCCCTGAGCTGCGCCCCTGTCTGGCCCCACAGACCTGGAAGACATGTCCGTCATGGTCCTGAGGACGCAAGGCCCTGCCGCCCTCTTCGACGACCACAAACTTATCCTCCACACTTCGAGCTATGACGCCAAGTGGGCACGGGTCTTCCACGCCTGTGGTGAGTTCATGCCCATCCCTCCCCGCCGCCCCGCGGCTGGAGGGGGCCTCAGTTTCCCCACCGTGAGCCAGAGGGCAGGCTCTGCTCTGGCTTCTAGCCTGCCCTGGGGGTCAGATGTGGGAGCCGTGAGGCGGGCGGGCTGCCGTCCCAGAAGAGCCGTGGCCCAGGGTAATTTGATTTGATGAATTAAAATAGAATTAGGGGCGCTGGGGTGGCTCATCAGCGGTGTCTGCCTGCAGCTCAGGGCATGACCTCAGGGTCCTGGGACTGAGCCCCGGGTCCGGGCTCCTTGACCAGCAGGGAGTCTGCCTCTACCTCTCCCTCTGCCCCTCCCCCTGCTCTGTGCTCGATCTCTCCCTCTCTCTCTCTCACACAAATAAATAAATAAAATCTTAAAAAAAAAAAAGACACAAAAATCTTTAAAAACATTCTTGAGGGGATGCCTGGCTGGCTCAGTGGTCGAGCATCTCCCTTCGGCTCAGGTTGTAGTGCCAGGGTCCTGGGATCGAGTCCCACATGCTTCTCCCTCTGCCGGTCTCTCTCTCTCTCTCTCTCTCTCTGTGTGTCTCTCATGATGAATGAATGAATGAATGAATAAATAAATAAATAAATAAATAAATAAATAAATAAATAAATAAAATATTTTTAAGAATTAAAAAAATCAAACAATATAGAGATACATAAGGTAGAAAATGAGGGTTCCTCATCCTCCCCCCTAAACCTGACTCTTAAAATGTGTTCACTGTTAACGAGTTGCAGTGTGTGCAACTCCCCGACTTTTCTGTGGATGCGCTAAGTGTGTGGCGTGTACATACTCTGCTTTCCAGGCACTTTCTCCCATCGAGTGATCTACCCGACGGTGCTTTCTGTACTCATGCAGCTCGGCCCCCAGCTTCCCGCTGCCACGTGTGTTCCGGGCATGGATGTGCTGTGACATGCCCGGGCCCCCGACCACATGGCTGTTGGCAGCGGGCAGGGTTCACCGCGGCGCAGGGGGCCGGAGGGCAGAGGCCTTGCTCACGGCCGTGTCCTCGAGCCTTGCCTCGCAGGTGCAGGGTGGGTGCTCAGCACATACCTGTTCCGCGAGTGGACAGCCAGCGAACACCCCGTACGTGTGTTTGTAGCCGAGACACCCAGAAGCGGAGAGGCTCGTTGGGAGTGGACATTACTCTGTGAGACGCTGCCCACTGTCCTGAACGGCAACATTAGAAAGGCAGGGCCGGGGCAGCCCGGGAGGCTCAGTGGTTTAGCGCCTGCCTTCAGCCCAGGGCGTGATCCCGGGGGTCCCCGGATCGAGTCCCATGTCGGGCTCCCTGCATGGGGCCTGCTTCTCCCTCTGCCTGTGTCTCTGCTTGTCTCTCTGTCTCTCTCATGAATAAATAAATCTTTAAAAAAAAAAAAAAAGAAAGACAGGGCCTTTCCCTGGCCTCGCCCACACTGGGCATCAAGCATCTTCCGTCCTTCGCGGGCCCGACGGCAGAGGGGGGCTGCAGTCCGGCCCGAGGGGCCTGGTGAGGCCCGCACGGCCAAGCTCTGCAGCCGTCGTGCTCTGCGGTCCCTCCCGGGGCTCACGGCCCTCCCTCCCGCCCCCCTCCCAGGTCCCGAAGACTCGTGTGAGGCCTACCGGCACGTGCTGGGCCAGGACAAGGTGTCGTACGAGGTGCCCCGCTTCCATGGGGACGAGGAGCGCTTCTTCGTGGAGGGCCTCTCGTTCCCCGATGCCCGCTTCACGGGGCTCGTGTCCTTCCACGTCACTCTGCTGGATGACTCCAACGAGGTAGGGGTGGGGGTGGCCCACGCACAGAGGGTGCGAAGGGGCTCCGTCCCCGGGACGGACGGGCACCACTGGCACCAAGGATCCCAGGCTTCTGGACCACCCCCCGGTGCCTCTCTAGAAACTAAGGGAAGTGGCGGTTTGCTCAGGGAACTGCACGAATGAGCCAGGCCTCTGGACTCCAAGGCCAGTGCTCTCGCCCTTCCTTCCGCTCGTCTTCCCCTGTAGGATTTCTCCGAGTCCCCGATCTTCACCGACACCGTGGTGTTCCGTGTGGCGCCCTGGATTATGACGCCCAGCACCCTGCCACCCCTGGAGGTGTATGTGTGCCAGTGAGTGTGTTGGGCGGGGGGGGGGGGGCGCGATGGGTGTCCTGCGGCCCCCGGCGGCCCGTCTGGTCTCCACACCTGGCTCCGCCCTGAGCCCCTCTCCCCGGGCTTGTGTGCAGGGTGCGGAACAACACGTGCTTTGTGGACGCGGTGGCGGAGCTGGCCAGGAAGGCCGGCTGTAAGCTGACCGTCTGCCCGCAGAAGGAGAACCGCAATGACCGCTGGATCCAGGTACCACGGCTGCCGGGCAGCACCGACCAGGTGGCATCGCGGAGGGGGAGGCTGGCCTCCCCCAACTGGGGCGCGGGGAGGAGGAGGCTGTGAATATCCAGAAGGACCTGGGGGCTCCGACTGTCCTCCCCAGGGCACTCCTTTTGTTCATTCTAGACCTAGAGCTCCCTCCCTCTCTCCAGAACTTTTTGGAGACCCAGTCACACGCCGACATTGGGTTGGACCCCATTCACCTCCCACAGGGTTGGTCCTGAAGGGAATGGCAGAAGGATGGGACATACTCCCTGCTCCCAGCGGCCTGGTCTGTGGTTCTCCACGGAAGGCCTCGGTCTCCCAAGGGACACTTGGCAGCATCTGGAGACATTTCTGGCTGTCACACTGGAGGATGGTGGTGCTACTGGCTTTGAGTGTGTAGAGCTTGGGGATGCGGCTATGCATCCTACAGTGAATGCACAGGATGGCCCCACAACAAGAATGATCTGGCCGCAGTGTCACGAGCGCCAAGGCCGCTGTGGTGACTTATTGCAACAAACAAACCGCTCTTGCAGTTGAAGGTGTAGCAGGGGTGCCAGCAGAGTGCCAGCAGGGTTTGGAGGAAGATGAATACAGACGTCCAGGAGGAAGGGCGTAGGGTGGGACCAGGTGGTGATGGTGGCTGCCATGAATGAGGCACTTAGGGTGGGCCATGCGTCACGGTGGGCCATGCATCATGCCATGTCGCCCTCTCAACATCCCCTGCTCTTACCCACCTGAGGAGCTCGCAGGGGCCTGTGCCCAGGGCCACAGAGCTGGTAAGGGCCGTGCTGGGGCTCAGTGGACGGCGGTCCTCACAGAGGATCAGCGTGGGCAAAGGCCCCAGAGAGGGGAGACGTGAGAAAGATGACCTCGTGCTCCTGGTGGCCGGGGCCAAGTTTCTGCGAAAGGCAGGAGCTGAAGTGGGAGACCGTGAAAGCCAAGCTGAGAAGCCTCCGTGGCTGGAGGTTCATCGGAGGAGACGGAAGTTCGGGGCGGGCCTCTGGAGCAAGATGGGCTGGTGTGATCCCGGCTGGGCCACTGACTAGCTGTGTGTCCTCGGACAAACAGACCTCTCTGTTTGTCACCTTCCTCCTCTGTAACGTGGGTAATCATCGTGCCTCTGCACGAGTGTGCGTGTGATGAGGATTCGTGGAGTTAATATTTATAAAGAGTTAGAGCGAGGCCAGGCGCGTAACAGGCCGGGCTTCTCATCGGCTATATGGTTCACCCGTGCTGGGCCGTCTTTGCCTCCAGGACCAGGGGGGTTGAGAGACCTGAGAAGGAGGCAGATGGATACGTCCTGAGGTCCCCTCCCAGCCCTGTCCAGCTGTCAACCCCTTGTGACTGCGGGTGGAGGCCAGAAGTGTCAGCTGATGTCCAGTCACTTGTTTGTCCAACTCAGGCCACCCTGAGCCCCTCTCTGGGCCCATCCTGAACCCCTCTCTGGGGCCACCCTGCCCTGATCTAGCACGGGTCCACCCCCAGGGTCACGTCCATGTTCTCGTTCATTCCCCGCCTGTCTTGCTGTGTGGCCCTAGGTAACAGCACCCTCTGTCCGAGCCTCCGGGCTCTCCTTCAGCCACAGGCATCATGAACCCCCACCCTCTTCACCCCAAAGGGCAAAGCAGGCCCGAGACAGAGAAATCCCAAGAACGTTCCTCCTCAAAGCGCTCAGTGCCAAACGAGTGTCGATTGTCGTTCACAGGACGAGATGGAGCTGGGCTATGTCCAGGCGCCACACAAGACTTTCCCGGTGGTCTTTGACTCCCCCAGGAACGGGGAACTGCAAGACTTCCCTTACAAAAGAATCCTGGTGAGTGGTCCGGGCCGCAGGCCGCAGCCTGGCTCTGAGGGCCGAGGGACACGACCCGAGAGCCACCCCAGGGTGTGGAGTCCAGGGGGGCAGCGCCGGGGACCGCGTCCTTAAGGGACAGGAGTGACCACCTGAAATACGGGAGACGCCTAGTTACGTTCGCGTGTGTTCCAAACCTCACACGGGACTTGGTTCTACTAAAAATGTGGTTTGTCTGAAATTCAAATTGAACTGGGCACCCTGGATTTTTATTTACTACATCTGGCAGCCTTCGGTAAGGGGTGGGGGCAGCGCTGCCGTTGAGAACACAGGCTCCGGAATCAGGACAACCCGGCTCTGTGGCTCAGGTGCTGTGTGACCTGGCCTGCGTCACTGCCCCTCCCGGAGCCTCAGCGTCTTCGTCGGCAAAAATGATATCGGTGCCCGGGCTTCTCTGTGCCCGAGCAGAGGGAGCACGCAGCCCCGTTAGCCGGGGCTATGACTGGTGATAAGGAGCACTGGGAGGATGGTGGTTGTGGACCGGGACCTCCTTGAAAAAAAGAGGGGAGGCTCCCTTAGGTGCTGTAGAGACCGGGAGGCCCTTGCAACCTCCTGCTGGATCCCAGAGGCGGTAGGAGGGGTAGGAGCTCTCTCCTGGCCCTCAGTGCTGGTTAAGTTCCTTCTAAGCGACGGCCCTGGGGAGCTCGCCCCTTTTCCAGAGTTGAAAGACTGAGGCTCCATCCCCAGTCCCTTGGTCCCCAGGAACAGCCAGGTACCTGCCCTTGGACTGCACTTGGCAGGGAGGCCGTTCAGAGGGTAAGAGGCAGCGGGGCATAGCCTCGGGCTTCGTGTCTACCGGGGCCCACGGGCAACCAGGGCCCTTCCTACTGTCTCCCTGGGACCACGGGGCATAACGTGCTCCAACACGGCAGTAGGGCCAGAGCGCCTGTGTATGTCCCAGCATTGGCCCCTACGCATGCGTGAAATATTGACTAGGTTAGATCCCTGTCTTTGACTCAGTATTTCCATCTGAAGAATGGGCAGCCGCTCCTGCGCCATCCTTAGGGAGCTCAGAGCCCAGCGAGTTGGTTCAAGCTCTTTCTGGTGACCCCCGTCCCTCGCCTGACTCCATTTCCCTTGCCAGGGCCCAGATTTCGGCTATGTGACTCGGGAACCGCAGGACAGCTCTGTGAGTGGCCTGGACTCCTTCGGGAATCTGGAGGTCAGCCCCCCAGTGGTGGCCGATGGGAAAGAGTACCCCCTGGGGAGGATCCTCATCGGCGGCAACCTGCCTGGGTGAGACAGGAGCAGGGAGACGTGTTCCGGGGGTGGAGGGTGGTGGTGGTGATGAGGGGCCACTCCATCCTGGGAGAGAACCAGAGGGGAGTCATCAGATCCTAGTTCTCGACGGGGGCCGGGGGACAGTGGGCTGATCACCGGACACCGTCCACACGTACCTTGGCGAGTTCGAGAAGCCCAAAGTGAGCAGAGGCCTAAGAGATCATTCAGTCCAGCCTTTTCATTTCACAAGGGAGCCCAGAGAGGGTGAGTGACCTGGTACAGGTCACACAGAAAGCAGCGCTGTGACTAGGCTTTGGTCTTATGATTCTAGAAAGAAATGATGTTGCCAATAACAGTCTATTAGTTAATAGCTCTAGAAGAAAAAGCTTTAAGTCTCGACAGTCCTGGAGAAATCACATTTCAAGAACCTGTTCATACTATGATGTAAATGACCGCCATCAGGTCTTTTCCTGAGAACAGGAGAAGGAAGGACTAGGACATGAAAAAGGAGACGTCGTAGCACGCAGGCACACACAGCGAGTAACAGATTGATTGTTGTTCACCATGTGACACGGAGAGACTGATGCAAAAGAAAAGGAATATCACGGTAATGGTTTTTCCCTGTGGAGTCGATCAAGACCCGGAGCCGACCAAATTCCGCAAAGCAGTTAGGACAGACTTGCAGTCAAATAACAGGTGAACCTAGAGGCTTTGGAGGGGACTAACTGCCCTCCACACGGGATCCCACGGGGCGAGGAAGTTTGAGGCGCCTCGGTGGCTCAGTCAGTTAAGTGCCTGACTCTTGATCTCAGCTCAGGTCTTGATCTCAGGGGCCTGAGTTTAAGCCCTGCATTGGGTTTCACGCTGGGTGTGGATCCTACTTTTTTTAGTAAAAAAAAGAAAGAAAGAAAAAGAGGACGTTTGGGCCATGGCATCAGATACGTATGCAGAAGGCCAAAGGAGGATGGGGTTTAAGTTCACGAGCACAAAATGCTGGGGCTGTGCGGCCCTTTGGGGGTGATCTTGTCCACCTCCGTCCCCACCGATGTACAGAAGGTGAAGCCCCAGCAAGACGGACAGAAGTTAAACTCCAAGAAGAGCCGCCTGGCCCCAGGGGACGGGATAGGGTGGTGAATCAGTCTTTCGGAGAATGTGAGGATGAGTCAGGGCGGCTCTGAGCATCTGCCTGGATGGCAAGACCCGGTGGGTCACCGCCCGGGTGGGATTGAGCTGTCCTGCATCTATCTGCTTAAGAGCTCAGCCTGAGCAGAGTTTAAAGGACGCAGTGCATAGGGCTTTCTTGGTTTGTTTGTTTTTTTTTTTTTTAATGAGATACTGCAGAAATCTTGAACTCTTGTCATTCCATTTCTTTTTTTCTTTTTTAAAAGATTTTATTTATTTATTCATCAGAAACACAGAGAGAGAGGAGGAGAAGTTGGCTCCCTGTGGGGAGCCCGATGCAGGACTCAATCCTGGGACCCTGGGATCACACCCTGAGCCAAAGGCAGATACTCAACCACTGAGCCCCCTAGTCTTCCTTTCTGCATAGACTTTTTAAAGTTAAGCAATTTTTTTAACCCCTTGGGCCCCAGGTCCAGCGGCCGCCGGGTCACCCAGGTGGTGCGGGACTTCCTCTATGCGCAGAGGGTACAGCCTCCAGTGGAGCTCTTTGTGGACTGGTTGGCCGTGGGCCACGTGGATGAGTTTCTGAGCTTCGTCCCTGCGCCAGACGGGAAGGTAAGGACGGGGGTGACATGCCTGTCCCCGGAGCCTGGGTCAGAGGATGAGCTCCAGGGAGCCGTGCTGAGGCCAGGGAGCTCAGGAGGTCTGCTCTGTCCACGCAGGGCTTCCGGATGCTCCTGGCCAGCCCCAGCGCCTGCTTCAAGCTCTTCCAGGAAAAGCAGAAGTGGGGCCACGGCAGGGCCCTCCTGTTCAAAGGGGTTGTTGGTGGGTACCTGTCTGCGTCCCTCACCCCAGCTTCCCACCCCCTCTCCTGATGCAAGACGCATCTGCCTTGAGAGAGGGGTGGCCGAGTCTATAGCAGGGCTGTCCCCCCACTCAAGAGCCTCACTGCCACTGCGCCCCTTGCCCCGCCAGCCCCCACTGCCCACGGCTGGGCCAGAGACATGGCCAGCTTCGTGGGCACATGACCAGTGTCGTCAGAAGGCTTAATGCTTTGCCACCACTGTCTTGAAATTCTTAGCAATTTGTGCTTTGTGAGTGGATCCTCCTGCTGCTTCCCAGGGATGAGACCCCCATGTAGCCCCCTCACTCCTTGGAGCCTCAGCCCACCAGGCCTCCCCATCCAGTGATTGCTGCAGCTGGAGCCTGGGTGTGGAGAGGCCTGGGTGCATGTGCCCCTCAGCATCTCAGGGGGGGCCTGGCATTAACTGTCCCTGCCCTGAGCCTCTACGCCCACCCCTGATCCAGGTACCTAGCACACCCCTGTGCAGAGGCTGCGGCACCCCTTGGAGATTGCCCATTTGCCAGGGCTCGGGATGGCAGGCATGTGGGAAGGGGAGCTGCCTGGCTCCGCGTGGGTCCTGAGGCTCGTGGGCTTGGGTGCCCGGCAGCCGGTGGGCTGTGCGCATGCATCAAGTTCTGGGGTGTGCCCAGCGCTTCTTAGGTGTGCGCTCACCACGCAGGTGTCCCATGGCCAAGGAAGTGTGACATCGAATAGTGTGTAAAAAACCAACATGACAGCGGGAGAGAGACCATGGAGAAAGGAAAAAGCTTCATGTTTTTAGTACCTTTAGTGATACTTTTTTTTCCCACTGTTATTTGAACAAAGTGCCCCACATTTTCATTTTGCTTGGAAGGAATTCTGAGAGCGATTGCTGGCTGGGGCTGGAGCAGGGGCACAAGCCTGCTAGAAGGGCTCCATCCCCGTCCCCACCTGGATGGCACGAATCCTAGTGAATTCTGAGTTCTGCGGAAGCTCTCAAGTAGAACTTTCCCGTCCCTTTCTCCCCACTCACCATCCTCACCCCCTTCCCGGCACCACCCTGGAGCCCCAGCCGTAAGGTGGAAGAAATAGTCTTCCCAACCCCCTCATTCCCATAAGGACCATGGCTAAGCGCCTTTGAGTCCAGGGCAAACCTTAAAAAGCCTCAGATCCAGATGTTATGTACCAGGTGGAGGGAAAGCCATTGTCCCCTTTCCCGGGAGCCCTCTCTTACCCCGTGGTCAAGGCTTGCAGCCCTTTGTGAGCCCCGGACTTGGCTTTGAATCACACGCCCCCTGTTTCGTAGCTGTAAGATCCTGGGCAAGTCGTTTGGTCTCTCTGAGCCTGAATCTGCCCACCTGTAAACAGGGTGATAGCGCACACCTTGTGGGGTTACAGTGAGCTTAAATGAAGTGTTGAATGTGGAGAACTGAACTCACAGCCTGCCCCTGGTGAGAGCTTGCTGGCAGCTCCTTAGATTGTGAATCTAACTGCCCCCCCCCTCCCCCCCCCCCCCGTGCAGCCCTGTCTCCAGCAGGCAGGCAGGAAGCTGGGCAGTCACCTCTTGGAGGGCAGGGACAGTGTCCCGTGTTCCCTCAGGGCTGGCGGATGATGGGTGGGTGGCCCAGCCTCCCTGCTGTTGGCCGGAAAGAAGAAGGACAGACCCAGTGCCCTGGAAGGGGCCTACGTTTCCAGTGAAAGGCATCACACTTGCAGGGACTCAGATGAAGGTCTGAAGTACGTGGTGCTCAGCCACCTGTCCCTGTCACCCGTCCCACCCCCAGGCTTGCGCAGGGCCCGGCCGTGCTCTGCTGAGTGGTGCCTACCCCACGTCCAGAAAGGCCAGAGAGCTACTGACTCCCAAGACCAGGAGCTGTGAACTTGGCCTCCGCCCGGCTGCCTCCCAGAGCCGGTGACCCTCTCTCTGGCGTCGCCCCTGCCCCTCCTCTAACGCTGCTCTCTCGCTCACAGGGGATAAGCCGGTCCACACCGTTTCCATCAACCAGGTCCTCTCCAACGTAAACCTCATCAGCTACAATAAGTTTGTGCAGGTACAGGCCACGGGCTGTGAGTAGAAGGTGGGCACAGCTGGGGACAGCGATGCGGACGGAGTCTGAGGCTCCGAGTCCGTGAAGGCCCAGGCTGGCATGGGCCCAGACAGAGGGGCTCCCAGCCCTCCTGGGACCCAGGAGAAATGAGGGGTAAGCCGTGTGCGTGTGAGGAGGACACGCATTCAGGCAGAGAGAACAGCACAAACGATGGCCCTGGGTAGGGGGAGGGGCATGAAATATTGAGGATGAGCCGAGGGGTTCTGGGGAGGTGAAGGGAGGCTGGGATTTGGGCAGAGGAGGGACCCAGGACGGCCCTGCCACCGTGCTGAGAATATGTCAATATTTCATAGCAGGGGGTGGGGGGCGTGACATGAGGTCCTGGCGAGAAACCCATGGCACCGCAAGCTGGATAACTCTAGAGTTTAATCATGGGAATATTACAAGGGCAGAGGCAGGATTTGAGGAAATTAGCAGGGGACTGTGCAGTGTCCCCAGGCTAGAGAGAGGGGGACATTCTAAGCTGTCACCACCCCTAGGCCTGACGGAATTAGGGAGAAGTCATGTTACTGAACGTGGAGAGGTCGCCATGGAAAGGGGGCTTTGGGGCAGGAGCCGTGACCTTCCTGGCCAGTGCGCAGAGGCTTGGCAGTGAGGAGCTGCGGGAACCCAATACCCTGCTGCCCTCGGCTACCACCCCCACCTCCTGTCAGGGCTCCACTGGCTGAGCCCCGCCAGAAGCCAGGGGACACAGGAGCCCCTGATCCCCAAGGACCAGGCTCCTAAGGCCCAGAACAGAGGAGGGGGTTATACGGAGGGTCCAGAAGGGCAAACACGACACCCAGCACGCCGTCATCTAAGATGCAAATGCCAAGATGGAGTTAAACATGCGGGGATCCTATTAGGGACAGTGCCTGTCCCCGAGAAAGAGGAGGGAGCTGGAGGGACAGCAGACCCTGGGTGGGCGAGAGGAAAGGCAGGCTGAGGGAAGCATTCTGCGCCTCCATTCCGTCTCAGCTTCAGCAAATCTTGGGGGGGGTCCTCAAGCCAATGGTGGCCATAGGAGGAGTCCCCTGGCTCCCAGAAACAGGTCTGCCTCAGTATCCTTGTCGCACTCAGCATTGCTGTTAGCAACTGGTGGGAAGTGTGGTCCCAGGCGCAGACACAGGAAGGATTTCAGAGCCAGAGTCGGGCCTCGAGGGTCAAGGCCGCCCCCACAGCTGGAGGCCTGCGAGGATATGGTGGTGCCTGCCACGGGCCTCAAAGGCAGGAGCAGCAAGGAGACTGGTTCGGAAGCCACGTTAACCAGGGGGATGGCTGTCCACCAGGTGAAAGCAGTAGAGGTGGTGGCAAGAGGCCAGACGGGGGAAATCTTTTAGAGGTGGAGCTGAAGAGGGGTGTGAGGCGAGGGGGAAGGAGGCAGCGGCCTTGGACGCGAGCGGCCGGCTGCACCTACGATGCCGAAGGACACCAGCGTGGTGGGGGGAGCGTGCAGATGTGAAGAGCTTGTTTGGGGGCCTGATGTGCCAATTGGCCATCCGGGTGAAGGTGCAGAGTGGCGGTTGTATGTGCCAAACTGAGATCGGGAAAGAGGGTGGGCTCTCTAGAGCAGCTGGGAAACAGAACTGTGGGAGTTGTCGGTGTGTAGACGGTGTCCGGAACCATGAGACAGAAGGAGATGCCCCCCTAAGGAGTGGAGGATCTGAAGAAGGGAAGAGGGCCAAAGATGGGACATTCTGGAACACTCACTAAAGCAGATCGCCGTGGAACACTCTGGATCTAGCCCAGGGAGAGGGGTGGGACTGTGAGAGGTGGGACCCAGAACAGGTGCACTCTGACGAAGGGACACATAGGTAAGGTTTGCGTGGAGAGTTGGTCCGTGGACACTTGGGCAGCCTGTCTCCTTAACCAGACGTGACCTCTTGGGTCCCCCCAACACCCCCTGGCAAGGTCTCTCCAACTCTACTCCCCACCAGAGCTGCATCGACTGGAACCGGGAGGTGCTGAAGCGGGAGCTGGGCCTGACGGAGCGGGACATCGTGGACATCCCCCAGCTCTTCAAGACGGAGAGGAAAAAGGCGGTGGCCTTCTTCCCTGACTTGGTGAGGCCATGTGCATGACTTAAATCCGTTTCACCAAATTAGGCTCCAGGCTCCTGCTCCGCAGAAGGGCAAGACGCTTTGTCGCTGTCATGTGTAGACTGGTGGTGGCTGGTGGGGGTGGCAGAGAGAATCAGGGGGCCCCATGACGGCCAGCGGAAGGACTGCCCTGGTCACAACGGAATGCTCACCGGCCAAGCCCCTTGCTCAAGGGCCAGGAGGGCAGGGGCCTTCCCTTCCTCTAGGGACCCTCTCGGTATTTGTGGAGTGAAGCAGTGATCGCATGAGGCCCCGTGCGCACAGCAGGCAGCGTCAGCCCGGAGCTCCCATGCGTGCTGTGCTCGCCCGCCCCCAGCTCCCCGCTGTCCACCCAGCCCCGGATACTTAGGGTGCACCGTCAGGGAAACCACCAAGGTTGCTCCCTGCCTTCGAGTTCCAGTCTCCTCTAGTGGAAGGGAAACTCTCTTTACCTCCCTCAGGGCGTGTTCTAGTCAAGATCTTTTTTGTATAATAAAGTCACGGGGCAGCTGAGAGGTAGGACAAAGCGCGTCCAGCAGGAGAGGTAGGACTGGAGATGCGAGAAGGCTTCCTGGAAGAAGCGGCCTTTGGTTGAGGAGGGAGGGCTTTGACTCTGGAACACCTGGAGCTGCCCCCCCCCATGGGTTCTGATTCAGCAGGTGGCGCTGAGGCTGCTCCCCGAGGACCACGCTTGGAGTCGCGCTTCTGTAGATGACCCAACTCTCCTCCTCCGCCTCCCTCCCCTCCTCCAGCCCCCCTTCACCTCCACCCGCCAGAGGAACTCAACTCACCCAGCATCAGAGCCTTGCAGGGGGCCTGTCCACACCGTCATTGCTTCATCCCCCCCCCCCCCCCCGTTTCTCTTCCCCTTTCTGGCTAACCTTCGGGCCTCCTCCCCATTTGCAAAACTCGGTTTCCCCTCCTATTATCCCCCTTCCTTCCTGCATGTTTAAGACAGATGTGCAATTACGGAAGTGCCTCCAGGGCCTGCAGACAAGGGCCACCCATGCCTGCCTGAGCCAGAGCAGGAGGTTTAAGGTGGCACAGCCACGCACAGATGCACACAGAGGCAGAGGCCCTGCTGCAAATAGAGCAGAGAGAGAGAGAGAGAGAGAGAGAGAGAGAGAATCTGATTGGTCCGGCTTGGGTCAAGTGTCTGGTCCAATCAGCTGCAACGAGGAAGTGGGCCTTGGGCGGCCCCCAAGATCCCCTGGGAAGGAGGGCAGCCCCGGGAAGTTAGCTGTCCCTGGGAGCTCTGCAGCTGCTCCCATGGGATCGCATAGACGCCAGAGTCTCAGCAGCCCAGGTGCCTCTCCCACTGCGCGCAGGATGAAGGGCGTGTTCAGGGCTGCCCGCGAGACAGGCACAGGCCCTGCCAGATGTGGTGCAGGTGTGCAGGTGGAGCTGCTGATGGAGTGCTGCCCTGAGCTGGGACCCCCCCCTCCCACTTCCTTGCAGGTGAACATGCTGGTGCTGGGGAAGCACCTGGGCATCCCCAAGCCCTTCGGGCCCATCATCAACGGCCAGTGCTGCCTGGAGGAGAAGGTGCGGTCCCTGCTGGAGCCGCTGGGCCTGCACTGCACCTTCATCGACGACTTCACCCCGTACCACATGCTGCACGGGGAGGTCCACTGTGGCACCAATGTGCGCCGACAGCCCTTCTCCTTCAAGTGGTGGAACATGGTGCCCTGAGCCCGCCTCACCCGCCCCCATTATGCTCTCCCCCGGGAGGACATCTGCCGGCCTTGAACAATAAGCATCAAGAGACCCCCAAGGTTCCAGATAGCATGCTGGTGGGGGGGTGGGGACTGTCTCTCTCAGAAGCCTTTTCCCTAGAAGTGTTCACACATCACTTGCAACCGATTTGGTTCTCGGACTTGATTCCTGTTGGCCCTCCCAAGAAGAAAGACCTCACTTCTTGTGGCCTCTCCTGAGGATCAACATGACTAATGGGGACTCCTCCAAACCTCCCCCTTCTCGTCCCCAAATCCTCCGTGTGGGATCTTATTTACTTTGGGATCTAAAAACATTCATGCATCTCATCCGCCATCTTGACCTGTGCGTCCTAAACGAGGAAGGACCTACAATTCTGCTTGGATCTGATTGCTTCTCACTCTTACAGGGGAACAGCATTAAAGTCAGATCCCTCCTCCCAGGAGAGAGTCTACTCATAGCTTTCCCCAGAGGGAAGGAGGTGGAGCCCATGTAGATCAAGGTTGGATCATCAGTCTACCTGCCAAGCTTCTGACCAGGTGTTGAACTCCCTACCCCACCCAGTGCCCAGCATGAGCTTTCACATAGTTGGTCCTTCCTAGATGTGTGTTGAAGGACTCTTGGCCCTTAATCTTATAAATGCCCCATCATCTGACATTCAGAAATCCGAATTTGTGCAACACCCCCCCCACACCGAATTCCCTGGAGATGAATATATGTGGGAAATTCTTGGATTTGGGGAAGTCTGTGGGTGCAAGGGTGAAAGAAGGTGTCCTTCATAATGTGTAGGATGCTTCCTTGGTCCCAGATTTCTCTCTGCAGGAGGGGTGACCTCTGGCAGCATCAGTCCTAGGCTTTCTGTTGCCCTCTGGTCAACATTTCTATGTCCTGCTGTGCCTCAGGAGAGGGGCCCCATAGGGGCAGATCCACTGAGACAGCTCATAATGGGCCAACTCTGGGACTGAACCACTCTGAGTGTAAGGGGAGGGGGCGAGGGGTGGGAGGTCTTCTCCAGATGTCTGCCAGTTACGTGTCTGTTCTGTATGGGTCCAGCAGGGTTTCTATCATTGGCTAATAAATCTACAGGACACGAATGGTTTGAGTCTAATTTGGGCCTTTCTTAGGGATTAGAACATGACAGTAAGGACAGAGGGGTTGTTTGCAGCTGAAGCATGTGCTCACCTGGCCCCTGAAGAATTTGGGGCTCAAAGGCCCAGATTTTGGTAAGGTAGTGAGGTTGCTCCATGTTGGCCACAGGATGAGTTAGGCCTGCCATGGACAGTTGTGATATAGCTACATACATGCAAGCCCAGGGTCAAGGGCCAGGCTGCCAGGGCCAAGTGAGTGGCAGGGCGAGGGTCTGGGCTGTGGCCGGAAGGTTGCATTGTGAGTGTGGCAATGGGGGAAGCTGAGGTGTATAGAGTGTGGGGCGCCTGTTGTGTACCCTTATCAGCATCCTCCTTCCTGCCCATGGGAGGCCATGCACCCCCATAAAAGGCCAGGTGGGCTTTCTCCAGAGCCTCAGGAAATCACTCCCTCTGCTTGGTATCCTTCTAATCCCCACCAAGGTGCAAAACAGAAACACACTCAGGCTGGCCCCAGAACTGGGCTGCTTCCGGGTGGTTAGAGGAGGTGCTACAGGCTCTCCCACAAGCCTCCTCTTCACCACGATTTACTTAGGTTCTCTGGAATGGACTCCCAATGACCCTACATGGCCAGATTTTATCAGAATAAGCTCACCTCCAAGGGAAGCTGGTACAAATGATGATGCTGAGAAAATCCTATTTTTTTGAAAGGGTGGGCAGTGGGGAATGTGACTTTCTAGAAGCCAGGGGCTTAAAATCAAGAGTACTAGGATGAGTTTGCCAGCAGGCTTTTCTCGACCGCCCCCTGCGCCTTCACCCCCACGCTTTCAGGCTGGACCCCACAGAAAGCTCTGGAAACTTCTCGCTTCTCCAGTTTGCCTCTTGTGCTTTAGGCTGGTGTGAGTGGCACCATTGAACAGCCCCAGGATCCTGACCCCAAGGCAGAGAGGAAGCAAAAGAAGCTCTCGTTGGGGCCACCAACCATGGCGCTCACCTGTCCCCACAGCGAGGGGTAGCGCTGGTACATTTGTTGCCCACTGCTGCTGTCCTGAGTTACCAGAAACGCTGTGGTTTCAAACAACACATTTATTATCTTACAATCTGGAGATCTGAGGTCTGAAATGGGTCTCACTAGGCTCATGTCAAGGTGTCAGAAGAGCAGGGTGTCTTCTGAAGGCTTTAGGACAGAATCTGTTCTCTTGCCTTTCCAGCTTCTAGAGGCCACCCTCAATTCTTGGCCAGTAACCTCTTCTTCCTCCATCTTCAGAGCCAGCAACGTAGCATCTCCAACTATTGCTCTGATTCTCTGCTTGCCTCTTCCACGTCTAAGGACCCTTGTCATTACATTGGGCCCACCTGGATAAGCCAGGCTAATTGGCCATCTCTGGGTCAGCTGGTTCATAACCTCAATTACAACCACAACCCTGATCCCCGTCTGCATGTGAGATAAAATATTCACAGGCTCTGGGGATTAGGACGGGGACATCTTTGGGGGAAGGGGGCCTTACTCTGCCTACTGTGGGTAGCCAGACTCTCTGACTGGGCTTTCTGGTCTTCATGAGCTGGACCATGTACGTCTCCTCTGAAATCCAGCTCGGCTCCTCAATGAGTATCACGGGGGCAGCAGGAGGAAGATGCCATTGGTGTATCCTCTATTGGGACTGGTGTTTAGTCCTGGACCCTTGTGAAACTAGGCTGACCCAGGATCCCATGAGTTCAGGCTGGTGGCTCTTAAGAGCACTGGGGCTTGTTCATCAAACCTGAGGACCAGGGCCTCCCCAGGCAGTCACCCATGCCGCATTGGATGCCTGGTTCTCAGCCCTGGGAACCCCCAGCGGGACCAGGATGAGAGCTAGGTTCTTGTAGGGGCATCCCACTTCCCCACAACACACCATGGTTTCTCTGACACAGAGGTCAGCCTTGACCCTGAAGGTTAGGATGGGTGTCCTAGGGGAGGCTGAAGGCTGCTGCTAGGTTGGGCCAGTTGATAATACCCCAACAGAAGCTTTCCCAGCACCCTTATGTAGCCTTCATTCATTCAAAATCTATTCAACGAGCATCTACTGCTTGCTGGGCAAAATCTCTAACCTCGGTTTATATCTCGGGAGGCAGCACGTAAAGAGATATAGATCACTAGAAATTTTTTTTTAAAGATCTTATTTATTTATTCATGAGAGACACACAGAGAGAGGCAGAGACACAGGCAGAGGGAGAAGCAGACTCCCTCCGATGTGGGAGCCTGATGTGGGACTGGATCCCAGAACCCCGGGATCAGGACCTGAGCCAATGACAGATACTCAACCACTGAGCCACCCAGGCGTCCCTAGATCACTAGGAATTGTGACAAGTGCCACGAAGCAGAGCACAAGGAGCGGGGAAGAGGGGTGGGGCCTGCTTTAGCAGGTGACGGACTCTACCCAGCAGTGGAGATATTTGGGCTGAGACTGAAGAATGTCACGGTTGGGCCAGCGAGGGAACAAGCTTCCAGGCACGGGGGCAGGAGGAAGCCCGGAGGTAGGGGAGGTAGGGGAGGTAGGGAGCATTTGTGGCATAGCGGGATGAAAAGAAGACCAGGACAGGGTGGGGGTCTGGAGTGGGGTGAGTGAGGAGGAGGCCCGTTTCCCCAGAGCCCTACCATGCCCACCTCGGAGCACACTGCCCCTCCCCGCTCCCCCTCCCCAGGGTCTGACTTGGGGGTGGGCAGGGTGGGGTAGAGAGTGTCCAGACGCTCTGCCCACACAGCACAGTTCCTGGGCAGAGCAGCAGAGCACAGTGGAAAGGCCGCGCGCCTCGGGGATGGACGGTCCAATGCTGAACTGGTGCTTCTCAGCACCGAACCTCTCTGAGTCCGTTTTCTCCTCTGCGAAATGGGCGTAATAATTGTGCTCACATGGTTTCAGTGAGATGCTCAGCACAGCATCTGACACATAGTAAGTGCTCAGTAAATGTTGCCTGTTGTGTAAGATCCTCGGGCTCTCCTCAAGCCACTGCTGTGTATTCGGCCCCTAATTCCCGCATTCTGCGGGGGGACAGAGACCCTTTGAGGCCCAGAGGTCAGATTTGGGAGGAGGGGAAGGGAAGGCCATCCTGGCAACACTCAGACAATACCCTGCTGCTCTCAGCTGCGTGAGACTGACCCAGGAGGAGGCTCCGGCCCAGACAGGAGGCGAGGGCCCGTCTTTCCTGTGCGGACGGACAACTCTGGGCGGCGCTGGGCCCTCCTGACTCCTGCTCATTCCAAGTGGGAATAAGTAACTGCAAGGCCCCGGCAGGAGGTTGCCCAACTCTCAGGTCTCCCGCAGCTTTGCCGGCACCCCGGAGGACGGAGCATCAGGCTGGGGCAGCTGGGCCTCCCGCTGGAGGACTGGACAGTCGGCAGGAACCACCGTTCCCTGCAAAATCGTCGTCCTGCCGTGTCTCCCACAGCCCGATGGCAGTGAGTGTGGGCCGTGTGCCAGCATGCGCCAGACATCTGCCACACGTCACCTGGTTTGCTCTCGACAACAGGCAAGCAGTTACTACTATTACCCTCACCTTATAGACAAGGAAACGGAGGCACAGAGAAGTGAAGGAACGTGCCCGGGTTCCAGAGCCATTAGGTGGGGAAGACAGTCTTGAGCCTAGACAGGTGACCCCCCAAACCCTGTCAGTGGTTCTCCGTCCACTTGCACGTGAGAGTCACCTGGGAGGCTGGAAACCAGCAGGACAAGGTCTCCATGCTTGGAGGGACACTGGGATGTTGCACAAAGCTGCCCAGGGCTTCTGACCTGCAGCCGGTGTAGAGCATCAGTGACCCAGGCCATATCGCCTCCCCAGCCTCTCTGTCCCTCCTCCTGCCTGGCACCCTTCTGCGGCTCCTAGAATCAGCAAGTTCAGGGGGCCCTGGGTCCCACACCACTCAGGCTGTGGTGGCACCTCCAACAAGCAGATGGTTCTTGCTACATTCACATTTTCTTGCAGAGCCAGTGCTTCTTAGAGAGTCATTAAAAATACAGATTTCTGGGCATCCCCCACCCCATCCGTTGGGCTGGCCCTCCTGAGCCACTCCCCTGGGTCTAGCCATCTGGATGTTTAAAGCTTCCCAGATGGGCCCGATGGTTCTCACGGCTCTGGGTTAAAAATGTTAACCGTTTTTTGTTCACCGTGGCAAAACATCTGGACACAGCATGAACGTTTATCAAGAGGGTGTCTTTGAATTCTGGTGTGGTCATCACCTCGGACTGTAATACTGTCATTTAGCAAGAATGAGTGGGAACGACCCCGACTGACTCGGAGGGATTTCCACAAGGCCCTGAGGGAGAAGCGCAAGACGTGGAACAGTGTGGACGGCAGGTTGTCAGCGGGGTCACGGTGAATCTCAGAGCCCCCACCCTCCGTGTGCACATGTGTGTGTGCACATCACTTTATGACTATATGACCACGGGGAAAGATATGGACTGATACACACGATGTTGTTAACATGGGCATGGGGGGGTGGAGCCAAGCAGATAAGTAAGGGATGAAAAATATACTAAGAGGTGGGGACGATTTCACCACATGTGTGATTTATTATAATTACATGTGGTATGTATACATATAAAAGCTATTATTTATTTATTTATTTATTTATTTATTTATTTATTTATTTATTTATTTTTATGAAAGCTTTCTTTAAAAAAAAAAAAAAAAAGACTGTGGCCATACTGGGAAGTCGAAGCATAAGTTGAAGTTTCAGGACAGCGTGCTGAGAAAAATGGTGCTCATGACAGCTGAGGCCCTAATAGAGGCTCCTCCTCCGTGGAGCTCACATTGTGGTGTCCGAAGCAGCCAATGCAGTAACACAGCACCAAATAATGCTCAGGTCATGAAACAGGGCACGTGGCTGGGAGCCCCGGGGGCCCTACCTTAGACAAGTGGTCAGGGGGCCTTCCAAGGAGGGAGACATCTCAGACTGGATTGGAAGATGGGAAGGAGCCACAGTGGAGAGAGCAGCTGGTGCCAAAGTCTTGGATGGGGGCTGGCTGTGTGTTCTAGAACCTGGCCCAAGGCCTCCAGGTGGGAATGGAGGGAGCATGCAACCATGGGAGGGTGCTGGGACAGAGGGCAGGGCCCCATCTCTGCTGCAGGGATGAGCTTGACTGTGGCTCTGAGACGAGCGAAGCCCTCCACGCAGGGTATGATGTGATTTGGTCTACATTCTTCGAGAGAATGCTCTAGATGGGGAACAGGTTTTGGGGTAAGAAACACAGGAGGAGTGGATCCCTGGGTGGCTCAGCGGTTCGTTGCCTGCCTTTGGCTCAGGGAGCAATCCTGGAGGCCTGGGATCGAGTCCCGCGTTGGGCTCCCTGCAAGGAGCCTGCTTCTCCCTCTGCCTGTGTCTCTGCCTCTCTCTCTCTCTCTCTCTATGTCTATCATAAATAAATAAATAAATCTTTAAAAAAAAAAAAGAAAAAAGAAATGCAGGAGGAGAGGGCAGAGACACGGGTCAGGAGGCCTGTGTACTGTCAGCCAGAGAGCAGCAACTGTGTTGGGTTCACCGTTTGGGTGGAAACCAGAAACAACAAGGCTGCTGCTGGGCAAGGCCGTGGGAAGGAGGAAAGGCAGGTCCTGAGTGACCGCCAGATTGCCAGGCCGATTGATTGATTGGTTTGCCAGGAAGTAGATCATCTACAACAAAGTCTTTAGAATGTTTCTGTAGGATTGAAAACATTAATCATGAAACGAAAACCCATGTGGCGGGCACTGTTTTCTAAAAAGAGAGCTTTCCAAGCCCGTCTGCAGGCTCGTGGGGTGACCCTTCCCTCCCGTCTCCCACACCCAGGGGTCCTCACCAACCTGAACGTTGGGTTTACCATCGCTCACCCCGTCTTTATCATTGTGCCACGAACAGCAGCATCTCTGGGTACCTACTGGTCAGCGCTGCCCGGTTTTGCAGTTTACAGGCTCGCGGCCACACTCACGGCCTCAATCTGTGATTCGCTCTTTTCCTCCAACACTGTGTTGGCGGGATTCGCGCAGGGTGCGTGTCCCCAGCACTCGTCCCTTTCCACGGCTCTGTAGGATTCCATTTTGTGGATGGAGTTTGTGTTTTTCTGTCAGTGGCCGTTGGGTCCTTTCCATGGTTTACTGTCCCAAACAGCGATGCTACCAGCACTCCTGCAGGCATCAGCACTCCTGCAGGTGGGCGCGTTCATGAGTCTCTCTAGGATACGTATCCAGGAGGTCTCTAGCCTCGTTGGCTTGGGGAATGGCGATCCCACGGAGGAGAAAGGGAAAGGACCATTTTGGGGGTGGGGGGGAGTATTCATTCAGGGAGGCTAATTGTTCCAGCGAATGGACTTGAACTTGTGTAGGGCTCAGACACAGCCTGTGTTTTCTTCTTACCTGAGCAGACAGTCTAAGGTGTGCAGGGGTGGGGTGTGTGGGATGCAGTGGGGAGTTCTGCTCCACACAGTCACTCAGGGGCCCAGGCTGATGGAGGCTCTGCTGTCTGCCACCCCTGCTTTCCAAGGTCACCCTGGGCATTGGCCTCGAGCCAGCAGAAGAGAGAAGAGCGAGGGAGGAGATACGACATCACGGTGGGGACGCGGTGCCTGCGTGTGGGTGCAAGGGGCTCTGGGAACACGGTCCTTGCTGGGGCAGCTGCCTGCCAAGTCGTGACCACATTACGGAAGAGGGCAAAGGACTCCTTGCTGCCCGCTAGCCTCTTCAGACCTAGAGGAGCAAGAGAGTAGGCCGAGAGAAAATCTCTAACTGAAGAGACGTCCCAGGTGCCAGCAGTTAGCTTCCAGCCCGTTCCTCCTCTGCCCCATCCCTGGGCCCAGCCGACGGGCAGCTCTGGATCTCGCCCGCAGGTGGGAGCACCGTAGGCAGCTTCCTGGACAGAGATGAACGAGTCAGGGGTTCCTTCAGTGGAAGCAGACGAGCGTCCTGCGTTGAGGACCTGCTGATGGATGAAGGTGGGTGCGGCAGTGCCTCTTTCTGTCTTTCCTGCTTCCTTCTTTGTGGTGATGAGGCAACTGGTGTGCCGACACGAACGTGGGCTGAGGTTTACCTGCCCGTTGCTCACAGGTGGGCACTCTGCAGGTGGGCACTTTCATTGAGCCTGGTAGGTGTTTACTGAGCACGTACTATGTACCCAGGTAATAAGGGGCAATGGTGGTAGCATAGTTAAGAGCACGGGCTAGGGAGCCGGGCTGCCAGGGTTGGCTTCCTGGCTTGGCTATTGCCAGCTCCGTGACCTCGGGCAGGTTACTTAACTTCTCTGAACTTGACTTTCCTCATTGGTAAGATGGGGAGAGTCATAGTACCTACCTCGGGCAGGGGGTGTGAGCAGTGTAAGAGATTGTCTAAAGTGCTTGGCCAAGTGCCCAGCACTCAGTAAACTGTAGCTCCGTGATGGGGGGCCGCAGCTCGAAGTAACTTAAAAGACAGATGTGGGGGCGGCCCAGGTGGCTCAGCGGTTTAGCGCCGCCTTCAGCCCAAGGGCCTGATCCTAGAGACCTGGGATCGAGTCCCACATCAGGCTCCCTGCATGGAGCCTGCTTCTCCCTCTGCCTGTATCTCTGCCTCTCTCTCTCTCTCCCTGTGTCTCTCATGAATAAATAAATAAAATCTTAAAAAAAAAAAGACAGATGTGGGGGTGCCTGTCGGTTAAGCATCTACACCTTTGGGTCAGGTCATGATCCCAGGGTCCAGGGATCGAGCCCCATGTTGGGCTCCCTGCTCAGCAGGGACCCTGCTTCTCCCTCTCTCTGTGCTGCTCCCCCTGCTTGTGCTCTCCGGCTTTCTCTCTCTCAAATGAATAAATAAAATCTTAAGATTTTGAAGAGACAAATGTGGTTTGGCTCTGAAGCCTTGATTTTTCTGTGTGGCCACTAAGGAATCTCTTACTTACCTTTTCCTAATAAGAGATTTTTTGTTTTGTTAAAGATTTTATTTATTTATTTATTCATGAGAGACAGAGAGAGAGAGACAGACAGAGAGAGGCAGAGACCCAGGCAGAGGGAGAAGCAGGCTCCATGTAGGGAGCCCGGTGTGGGACTTGATCCTGGGTCTCCAGGATTAGGCCTCAGGCCGAAGGTGGTGCTAAAGCGCTGAGCCATCCGGGCTTCTCTTGTTTTGTGTGTTTTTAAGGTTAAAAGTTGGACATTTAGGAAGTCTGGCTACAGCAAAGCTTTGATGAACACAGCAGATCTGAGCAGTCTTTGCCCACTGGGAGGTGGGCTGTGGTGTCTCCCATTCGCCCACCACAATGTGCCAGTGCCCCCCCCCCATGACTTAAGCTGAATAAGCAGTGGGCAAGTTTTCATGAGGTCAGGGTGGAGGGGGGCTGGCTCCCTGCTCCTCCAAGTGTGCCACCCCTGCCTGGGCACTGGACCAGGGCCTCCTGCTTCCCAGCATTTTCTTGTTATGTTGGTGGTGAGGATTTAAGGAGGTTTTTGATGGCATATCAGAGGGCAGGAGTCACCCTTGGAGTTCCTAGAAAGGAATGCACACTCGAAAACCTAGGGTGAGTGGTATTGATGTGAGTGCTCAATGGACATGTGTGTGTGTGTCATCACCCAGCAGATGAAAAGAAACCACCGTTAAGCCAACTCTCTGAAGCAAGGCCATCTTTGAAGAGTTTAAGACCAGCAATGAAGTTCATGCCATAGTTTCTTTTTTGAACCTTCTCTGGGTCTTTATATGTCTCAGCATCCTGAGAAACTGCATCTCAATGTTAATTATCTTAATCTGAAACATCTCAATCACAGAAATTACAGCCGCCCCAGGGACTTCCCAGGGCTCCAGCAAGCAGGGACCTGAGCAGGGCTGGGCAGGGCGTGATTCAGAAATGAGTTTTTATGTGAGTAACCACCCACAAGGGTACTGGACAGCTCACTCATTATAGGTACTTCTTTTCTTTCTCCCTCTCTCTTTATTTTTATTCCCTTGATGAGAATTATTCCTCAAGGGATTTGAGACCATTTATCATAAGGAGACACCTGGCAAACTGACAATTTAAAAATAGAGGCACCAGAGCAGGAAGGTTTTAAGAAATAAAGGCCACAGGAAAGGACAAACATATGACAGTGGGGACCAAGCTTGTGAGCATGGTTGAGCTCAGAATTAGGATCTGAGCTTCCCAGCAGCCCATGCAAGAAGCAGAACCTGCCATCTCCTCCTCATGATCAGCAGGAAGGCAGCGTGCCAACCGATTCCCAGCACACTCAGGCGTGGAGCGGTCAATGCCCGCAAACCCCTGCAGCAGCAAATGTGAGGAGAGAGCTCCTAAGTCTGAGCCTCCATTTCTCATCTGTAAAGTGCCAATGGTGCTTATCTTCCCAGATTGTTTGAGGGCTAGAGTCATGCCTGGCAGACCGTGAGCATCCAACAGATACTCATTGCTTTACTTTCCATTCTCCACCTCCTGTAGGATTCGTGCCTTATTCATCCTCCTGACAGCGGTTACTTAATCCTGGCTCCCGTTTTATATGGGCACAATCATCCCTGCTTGTGTATCCAGCTCAGTGGTATTCTGAATGAGTGGGTGTCGACCCTGACTTCACTCAGCCCGCAGATTAGTAGTGGAGCAAGGTGGACAGATGATTGCAACATGACACGACAAGTACAATGATCTGGGCCGAATAATAATGTCCGTATTTTAGCACTTAATCTGAGCTAGGTACTGTCCTTGATGAGAACAGCAGGAAAGAGGAAACTTGTGGACACAGTAATGAATTCATAAGTACAAAAATTATAAGCAGGGGCACCTGGATGGCTCAGTCGTTGAGTGTTGGCCTTCAGCTCAGGTCATGACCCCTGGAGTCCTGGGATCAAATCCCGCATCAGGCTCCCTGCATGGAGCCTGCGTCTCCCTCTGCCTGTGTCTCTGCCTCTTCTCTGTGTCTCTCATGAATAAATAAATAAAATCTAAAAAAAAAAATTATAAGCAAAACGTTAGCAAACTAAATTCAAAAAGGATATACCATCAGATCAGATTAAATGGATCCCAGGAATGCAGAATTTTGCCTTAGAAAATCAATTCAACGGATTAATAGATCAAGGACAATTTACACAATGATCTTGATAAATCAGGAAAAAACAGTTGATAAAATTTCCACTTGTGACTAAAATAAAACTTAAACTAACCTTAAAAAGGAGCTCCTTTAACCTTTATTTATTTTTATTTTTTTATTTTTTTTATTTTTATTTATTTATTTATTTTTTTCCTTTAACCTTTAAAGAAAGATTTATTACAGGGCTTCTCACAGCGAGGTCCCCAGACCAGCAGTGTTCAGCACTGCCAGGGAACTTGTCCAAAAAGAAGCCCTCAGGCCTCTCCCAGACCTACTGGATCTGAAACTCTGGGGTCAGGGTGTGGAGGTGGGGAGCAGCAGGTTGTGTTTTAATGAGCCCTCTGGGTAACCCTGGTACAGCTGGAGCTGGACTTCGAGAACCACTGGCCTACAAGAAACCCACATCAACAATTACACTTAATGAGTGATGTTGAAACTACCCTCATAGGATCAGAGAGGATCAAGGCGAGACAAGAGCCCTATTGTCATCACTTCTACTCTGCATTGAACCGAAAGTTCGTGCAGTACAGTCAGGCAAGAGAAAGAAGTGCAAGTTCTAAGGACTGGAAAGGAATGATTACATATAGAAAATCCAAAAGAATCTACAAGCTGTAAGAGCTAATAAGAGAGTTTAGCAAGGCTATTGCTATCAAACCAATACACAGAGATAAATTGTATTTCTTTTAAAAAATATTTTATTTATTTATTTGAGAGAGAGAATGAACAGGGAGAGTGGCAGAGGGAAAGGGAGACGCAGACTCCCCACTGAGCCTGGCCGAAGGCAGACGCTTAACCAATTGAGCCACCCAGGCGCCCTGATGAATTGTATTTCTATATACCAAACAGTAAGTAGAAAATTTTAAAGTTAAATATGCCAATCATAATAGCAATAAAAAAGTAAAAAAAATAAAACAAAAACCAGAAAATAAATCTAACCAAAGATGTGCAAGACCTCTATGGGGTACGCTACACAACAGAACTACAAACACTGGAGGAGGTCTGAATGAAGGGAGAGAGATGCCATGCTCATGGATGGAAAGCTCCATATTGAAAAGATGTTCCTCAGGGGCACCTGGGTGGCTCTGTTGGTTAAGCATCTGCCTTCGGCTCAGGTCATGGTCCCAGGGTCCCGGGATGGAGCCCTGCTCAGTGGGAAGCCTGCTTCTCCCTCTCCCTCTGCTCCTCCCCCTGCTGTGCTCTCTTACTCTCTCTCTCTCTCTCGCACTCTCTCTCTCTCTCAAATAAATAAATAAAATCTTTAAAAAAAGAAGGATGTTACTCCTCCCTGAGATCTACAAATTGATGCAAACCCGATCAGAACCATTGCAGGTTGTGTGTGTGTGTGTGTGTGTGTGTGTGTGTGTACAGAACTTAAAAACCGATTCTAAAATTTGCATACAGTGCAAAGAGCCAAGAAGAGCTAAGTGAGTCGTTAAGGTGGGAGGATGAGAGAATGTGCTCCACCAGGTTTAAGACTCATTGGAAAGCTCTAGTAATGAAGGCCACGTAGAATTCATGCAGAGAGAGACAAATAGTCCAACTACCCAGATCAGAGGGCCGGATATTTTATTATCATGTGGTAGGTAAGAGTGGCCCATATATCCTATGTGCTGGTCTGTCAGCATGTATGTTACATGTATTATAGATGCATTTTCTCCCAATTTGTGGTTTACTTTTTTATTTGCTTAATCTGTCTCTCAGTAAGTGGAAGTTCTTCGTTTTCATATAGTTAATCATTCCTTTCCTTTATCGTTCTGTTCTTTGCGGACCACTATCTAGAATATATAAGGAAGTCCTTGGCAGTTTGAATCCCGGTGCGACGACGGAGTAGGCGGTGGGATCTTGCTGGCTGTCTGACTAGTCCTTTCTCTGCCTTGCTTGTTTGAGCTTCAGCAGAATTCAAAATGGCTGGCGGTAAGGCTGGGAAGGACTCCGGAAAGGCCAAGACAAAGGCGGTTTTCCGCTCACAGAGAGCCGGCTTGCAGTTCCCAGTGGCCCATATTCATCGACACCTGAAATCTAGGATGACCAGTCATGGACGTGTGGGTGCGACTGCCGCTGTGAACAGCGCAGCCATCCTGGAGTACCTCACCGCAGAGGTACTTGAATTGGCAGGAAATGCACTGAAAGACTTGAAGGTAAAGCGTATTATCTCTCGTCACTTGCAACTTGCTATTCTTGGAGATGAAGAATTGGATTCCCTCATCAAGGCTACAAGTGCTGGTGGTGGTGTTATTCCACACTCCCACAAATCTCTGATTGGTAAGAAAGGACAACAGAAGACTGTTTAAAGGATGCCTGGATTCCTTATTATCTCAGGACTCTACATACTCTTTTTTTTTTTTTAATTTATGATAGTCACAGAGAGAGAGAGAAAGAGAGAGAGGCAGAGACATAGGCAGAGGGAGAAGCAGGCTCCATGCACCGGGAGCCCGACGTGGGATTCGATCCTGGGTTTCCAGGATCGTGCCCTGGGCCAAAGGCAGGCGCCAAACCGCTGCGCCATCCAGGGATCCCCATACTCTTAACAGCTGTCCAGTGTTGGTGATTCCAGTGGACTGTATCTCTGTGAAAAACACAATTTTGCCTTTTTGTAATTCTATTTGAGCAAGTTGTAAGTTTAATTAGCTTTCCAACACACCAAATTTCTGCATTTGAGTCGTAACCATATTTTAGTGTTACTGTGGCTTCAAAGAAGCTATTGATTCTGAAGTACTGGGTTTTGATTGAGTTGACTGTCTTTAAAAAACTGTTTGGATTTTAATTGTGATGCAGAAGTTATAGTAACAAACATTTGGTTTTGTACAGACATTATTTCCACTCCAGTGGATAAGCTCAATAAAAGTCATATCCAAAAAAAAAAAAAAAGTCCTACCATTCAATAAAGATTAGAAAAAGAGAAATAGAGAAATAATCCCATGGGGGGAAAAAAAGGATAAAAGTATAAGTAGGCCCTTTACAAAACAGAAAACACAGATTTCCAATAAGGAAAGGACGGAAGATGGAAGGATTTCAGCCTCGTTTGTAATCAGGGGAACTCAGATGCACACTGCGATGATACACTATCACACACCCACCAGGTAGACCAAAATAAGTAGATACCTGAAGGGCAATGGTTAGCGAGGATGCAGAACAACTGAAACATCATAAACTGCTAGTGGGGATGACAGGGGTGCAACTACTTGAAAAACAGTTTGTGGCTCCAGTGAATTAAAACTGCCACACCCTCTGCGAGAAATTCGGCTCCTAGGTACATGCCTGCGCCCCGAGAGACATGAATGTTCACAGCAGCAGTAGCCAAATGATCCCCAGACTGGAAACAATGCCCGTCGCCAGCGGGACGGATAGCTAAATTGTTGAACGTTCCCATGACGGAATATTGGAGAGCAATGACGAAACCATCTATAGTTCACATGGCCACATGGACGCATTTCACAACCACGACCCTGAGTGGAAGAAGCAAGTCACAAAAGAATGAAGCCTGCTTCCGTTTTCATCACATCCAACCAGATAGAAATAATCAAAAAAATGTAAAAGAAAAAAGTGAAGGAATAATGACTGAAAGATTAGCCTAATGGCTAGTTCAGGGCTGGGAGGGGGATGCAGTGAGGGAGGGGCCCCCAAGGGGCCCCTTCAGAGCTACTGAAGGCTTTCTATTTCTTAACCCAAGTGGGGTTTCCACGGTGTCCACGTTGTTATTATTCCTGGAAGTGGTTGTCTGTGCAGGCCCTCCTCCGTGGGCATGCTACGATCTACGATTTGAAGCACCGAACCACAGAATGCACGCACGAGTGGGTCGAGTTCATCAGCACAGCTCCCACTGGCCGGAAGAAGCGCAGATCCCCGCCTCCAGCAGGCAGATAGCAGAGGATTTGCCACCCCTTGAAAAGGTCCCTGGGGGCGGCTGCCAGCTGCTCTGAAGTCCCGAAGGTCAGAGAAGAGGGCACACTGGTGACCAGACCACAATGCCATCGCCGAGCCGCCTCCCCTCCGGAAGAGTCCCTGAGTGTATGTGGGTGGAGGGCAGCTGTGTCAGGAAAGCCTTGACTATCTCCTGGTGGGGGCAGGTGGGTGGGCTTGGGAGAAAGAGGAAGGACAAGTCACAGGAGGTAGAGGTCTTAAATCAGGGTCCCTGGGTGGGTTCCAGGGGGCCCATGAGCCCAGCAGGCTCTACGCAAAACGTTCTATGTGCATTTTTCAGGGAGAATGTGTCATGGCTGTCTCCTGCTCCTTGAAGGAGTGGGGATGCCCCAGGCTTCCTGTGGCAGATGCTGTCAGTGCCCCCCAAGCCCCTGCCATCCCCTTCCTCTTCAATTCACAGCGACCTGGCCTCAGAGTAGCAGCACTAGCACTCCACCTGAAGCCTTCTCTGGCCACCAGAGCAGCATCAGAGCAGGGTGACCAGAAACCAGGGGACTGGTGCCTGCAGGAGCGGCCCTCAAGCAGTAAGTGATGGGAATGGGTGTATAAATGCCCCGCCCCCTTGCCGCTGGGGTGGGCTAGCTTTGGGGCACCGGTCCACACTCTCCAGCACCCCCCAGTGGCTTAAACTCTACCACCCTCAAGTGGTGACCATGGCAACCAGCTTACTAACACACCTTCATTGGCTCCCCTTCCCTGTCTCACTTTCCCATCCATCCTAGTGTATCCTGTATCTCCCTGATAGACTACTTGCACTCAAATCCTTGCCCTAGAATATATCTGAGAAAGAGAGAGAGAGAGAGAGATCTTCTTGGTTCTGTTTCTTGGACTTCTGTCTCATGTTCCTTGAAGGCAAGGACCCTTCTACCTTCTGCATCCCTAACACCTGACACAACACCTGGCGCAGAGGGGCGTTCAGCAGGTGTCTATTGAAGAAATGTAAATCAGAAGACCAAAGAGTCTGGGAGCTTTTATTGTCCTCCACAATTGGCCAGTAAAGCCTTGTGGTTAAGACTTTGCAATCACCTCGATCTGGATTCAAACGCTGACTTCTCTTACCGCCAGTTTGTGTGATCTTGTTCTAGTCACTCAAGTTTTTCGAGCTCAATTTCCTGGCCTACAAATTCCCTTCCTTGTGCGGTTGCCCCGAGGATCACATGAGGAGGCGTAGGTCAGTGGCTTGGCCTGGAGTCTGCCCAGAACTCGGTCCCCTGTCATCTCTGTTAGTGGCTGGAGACCACAGACAGCAGGACTGTAACGTTCTTTGCACTGAGATGCTTAAGGAAGCTCTATGTTGGGATAGCCTACTGGAAATCAGAACATCCCAGAAAAATTCAGGCCTGGATTCCTTTAAGACCTGGGGAGAGGGTCTGGCACACAGTGAGTGCTCAGTAAATAGAACGGAGAGATGGTGCACAAATAGTATATTGCAGCCTCCTGAGGCCGAGATCCCCAGAAGGACCAGCCACCAACCAGTCAGGCCCTGCCAAGACCTCACCACAGAGACACCCAGCCCCGCCTTTTGGCTTCCTGGTTGGGTGTGAATCCACTGAGCAAACAAATTCCTCAGAAGATCATCACCCAAGCCTGGCTGAGAAGAATGTGAGGTGTCAGTGTTATTTTAAACCGGTGCTAGGTTCAAGTTTACACGGCAATGTTATTTTAATGTAGCTCCGGGTTCAACCTTCAAACTGCTGCTGGAGAAATGCAATCATGGTCTAATGAGAAAAAGCAAAGCAATGGTGAGGACACACATTGCCTGCAGCTCCCGGCCCTGGCTCATTTCTTCCCTAACGTCTCTCCTGATCAGAGCGGCTCAACAGCATCAGCAACTGGGTGGCAAACATCTGGAACATTTATCAACCTCATTACGAACTAACCGAACACAAAGTACTGCCATCAGAATAGCAGAAACAAAACCCCCTGAAAAGATTGTCAGGAAGGTGAGGGAGGTTGAGCGGTCTTGTAAGCTGCTTATACGGATATGATTTGATTGCACAGTTCTTGGGAAAGCAGTTTCAAGTATTAGGAATTATACCTCTAGGAAAATACACAAGAAGGGTATCCTACTCAAAGACAAATGCTTATTTGAGATTCATAATAGCAAAAAATGAGAATCGTGCTCAGTCAAAATGTGAAAAGCATTTGAGGCTGGGTAAGAAAATGTGATACCTCCATTTCGTGCCATGTAGGAAACCTCCAAGGATTTTATGGTCATGTGACAAATACCTCTCTTGTATTAAGTGAAAAAAATCTGGCTGCAAAAGGAAGTGATCTGTGAAATGGCAAAATGAATAAATGGGGGTAGTTGTAGTAATCGTTGCCTGTGGAAAGGGATTACATTGGGCACGATTTGCTTTGCAGACATCTTTTACTATTTAAATGTATGAATGAAAGAAGAAAAGAAAATGGATTTATACATACAAGATAGAAAGTTGTCTGACACCTATAAAGTGAAAAAAACTGCTTGACTGTGTTGGGTTTTCCTTGGTAATTCCGATACCGAGATCCAAGGGCAGAAGTGTTTGGACTTCTTTCTTGGAGGCTGGCATTGTAATGATCTTGCTGCCTTCCGTGTAGTGGGCATCCTCCCCCAGCATTGGTTATAGGTATCCGGTGTTCTGCTCGACCAAAGCCCATGTAATCCACCACGTAATAGGCTAAAGAGGAAAAATCTTACCCTCATATCAACGGATGCCAAAAGAGCATTTGAAAACATCCAATGGTCATTCATGATTAAAACTCTCTGTAAAGGGATCTCTGGGTGGCGCAGCGGTTTGGCGCCTGCCTTTGGCGCAGGGCGCAATCCTGGAGACCCGGGATCGAATCCCACGTCGTGCTCCCGGTGCATGGAGCCTGCTTCTCCCTCTGCCTGTGTCTCTGCCTCTCTCTCTCTCTCTCTCTGTGTGACTATCATAAATAAAAAAAAAACTCTCTGTAAATTAGAGATAGAAATGTACTTCCTCAAACAAAACAAAACTACAGTTAACAACATACATAACAGTGAAAGAGTGAATGCTTTCCTCGCAAGACTGAGAACAAGACAAGGATGACCATTCTCACCACTATTCTCCAACCCAGCACTGAAAGTTCTAGCCAGTGTGATAAAGCCAGGAAAGAAATAAAAGATATACAAACAAGGAGGGAGGAAATAAAACTGCCTGTAATTGTGGATACCGTAATTATCTATATAGGAAATTCCAAGGAATCTACAAAAAACAAAACAAAACAAAAAAACCCAAAAACCCAACAACAAGAACCCTAGAGCTAATAAATGAGTTCAACAAGGTCACAGAATACAAGACCAACACAAAAATCACTTGTATTTTATTTTATTTTATTTTATTTTATTTTATTTTTTCACTTGTATTTTAATATACTAGCAATGAACATGTCGATGCTGAAATTAAAAATACAAGACCAGGGGCACCTGGGTGGCTCAGTTGGTTAAGCACTCAACCCTTGGTTTCGTCTCAGGTCGTGATCTCAGGTTTCGAGATCAAGCCCGGAGTTGGGCTCCATACTCAGCGGGGGAATCTGCTTAAGATTCTCTCTCTCCCTCTTGCTCCAGCCCTCCCCACTATGTGTGTCCCCCCCTCTAAAATAAATAAATAAAACTTAAAAATAAAAAGAAATAAAAATACAAGAAGGACAAATATTATATGGTCTCGTTCATTTGGGGAATATAAATAATAGTGAAAGGGAATATAAGGGAAGGGAGAAGAAATGGGTAGGAAACATCAGAAAGGGAGACAGAACATGGAAGTCTCCTAACTCTGGGAAACCAACTAGGGGTGGTGGAAGGGGAGGAGGGCGGGGGGTGGGGGTGGCTGGCGGGCACTGAGGGGGGCACTTGACGGGATGAGCACTGGGTGTTATTCTGTATGTCGAATTGAACATAACACCAAATTGAACACCAATAAAAAATAAATTTATTATTAAAAA